AAAAAAAAAAAAAAAAAAAGAATGTAGGATGCATACAACTCAATGCAAAAGGACACCACACGCATACATCCACACACACTTATTACCTGTGTGGTTAGAATATCACTCTGAGAGGACGGTCCTGAACCGACTTCAGAGAGGCCTGATTCACTCTCATACCTGGATGCTACTTCACCTTAAAAGATAATAAAAATAGAGATTCAGACAAAAAAACAAACAGTAAACACTGCAGCTTGCTGAATCTGTTTCTTCCTACTGGCAGAAGGTCGTATTTCACTTCTTCATCACACAAAATGATTATAGTCCTTGCTCTGGGACACCTGGATTTCCTCTTAGAAATCATAACAGTGACGACCAGAAGCAAGTCCACCAACAATTAGGGCATTAAATCTCATTCAGAGAAGACCTTGGAACTGGGTGAAAGACTTGACTTTTAAGGACAACTACCTTAGGAGAAACAGGTTTTAAAGTTTAAGAAGCAGTTAGTTACTTTAACTGTACTTGGAAACCCATAAGATGTGCTCCCCAAAGGGCACACACATTTAGTTCCTTTATAGAAAACTGACTGGGGCAAACACAAAAACGTGGTTCCCATACCTAAGTTTGAATCCATGCTCTGGTCATCTTGGTGATTATCCTCTTCCAGGCCAGGTTCCCTTTCGTAATCATCTGAAACTAATTCCTTGTCACTCAGAACAACTTCCTGGTTTTCAGACTGATGCCTCACTTGTTTGGAAGGAGTACCAAACATCAAGAAAGGATCCTGAGTGTTTGTATTTGTAGTCAAGTCTTCCACTGCACTGCACTGTGAAGAAAATAAGCTACTAGAACATCTCACTTCCTCACTAAGGTGATATTCCTGCGAAGCCTTTGCCGATGTTACCTGGTTACAGCACTCATTTATGCTATTCTGCACTGATCCTAGGTTCTCTTCTGTGTTCTTAGATAGACATTCTGTGGCATCAGCACTATGTCTGGTAGACTGAGAAGGTATACTGGTTACTTTACCAAATAATATGTGTTGGAAGCAGGGAAGCTCTTCATCCTCACTAGATATGTTCTCTTCTGAGGACTCTAATTCCCTGGCCCCTCTTAGGTGACCCTGAGCCAAACCTGAACGGGATAAAGGGCTTGGGTTCCTTCTGAACTCTCTTCTCTGGTCTTTACTAAAAACAGCAGATCTTTCCTTAATGCCACTTTCAGCAAAGCTGATATTTTCCTTTATTTCATCATCATCTAACAGGTCATCAGGAGTCTCAGAACAAATCTGAGAAGCACGACTACTTCCCATAGGTTGTTCTAGGTTATCTGAAATTAGACATGGAGAGAAATCCATATTAACATCCTCAACTACTCCTTCATTTTCTCCTTGCCTTTTTATTTCAGGATGTTTACAGTTACTTACAGGAAGACTTTGTTTATAGACTTCAGGTTGCATAAGACCTAATCTGAGCACAGCATTTAATTTAGGTCCTCTGTTCCTACCTAGCTCTGCTTGAATGTTTTCGCCACTAGAACCTACTTCATTAACACTGGAACCTACTTCATTAATACTGCTTGAGCTGGCTTCTTTAGAAGCACTTTCCTTAATGTTATTTTGGCTGACTGTGCTCACTGTACTTTGAACGATGCTCTCATTTCCTACTGCTCTTTCAAGTGATATTGTATGTTCCTCAAACCTTTCTTCTGACAAGTTTTTCTTACTTTTAACAGATGCCCTGATGGGAGAAAGCAATGGCATTTGATCTGGATTTTGTGAAATTCCATGTTCACCTGTAATGTGTTCGGATTCACTGCCTCTGAACTGAGATGACTGACAAAGCCTAGAGACTCCTTTAGTGCTACATTTGGTATAATCACTTGGCTTCTTCTCTTTCTGACAATCCTCAGGATACCCCGCAGTTGTATGAACTGCCTGCTCATGCTTGATTTTAGACTCTTTGTTCCCTTGATTTTCTTCTTTTTCTCCATACTCAGGAGTGACTTTTGGACTTTGTTTCCTTAAGGACTTGGAGTGGGCACAAATTGTTGCACATTCCTTTTCTGGATTTGAAAACAGAGCAAATGACTGACGCTTTGAAACTCTGAATGTACTCTGTAAATACTGAGTATCAAGTTCACTGTCTTCCATTTCTATGCACGTCTCCTGAACATGGTTAACTTCACATCTCAACAGATCCTTAAAATCCTCTGTGTCATTTCTAGTATCTTTAGGACAACCATGGATAAGTTCATTGGGGTTTTCAATTGCTGCACACTGACTTGCACAGTGATTTGGTGCTGTTTTTGCCTTCCTGAGGGTGTCAGCTTCCAGTAATGAGATGCTGTTCTGACTGCCATAATCAGTATCAGGTATCACTGAGATACTGGTACTCTCAACAGATATTTCAGTTTGCAAACCTCTTCCTCCATTTAACACTAGATCCTCGGGGTCTCTGGTTCTATTAGACACTTGAGTTGCTCCCAGATTTTCTTCTATTTCTTCTCCCTGAAGGCTAGGATTAACAAATTTTTGATAATTATGAGAACTTGAACAGTTAGTAATTAAGCCAGTTGTGCTTGTTAAATTTAGTTCTGGGTAAGTGTCACTGGCATGTCTTTTACTTATTTGTTCCTTTGGCTTGTTACTTTTCTTGGCTCCAGTTGTGGTTTCTTGGTTTTTCATGAGTTGAAGGTTTCTGTTGTGTCTGACTGGCTTTTGCTCAGAACTTTTCTTTATCTCGTCACTGCTAGACCAACTATCAATTTGTAGTTCAGTATGAGTAGGTGGACTTGGATTTCTATTGACTACTAGTTCAAGTGCATGAATATGCCTGGTAGAGGACTTCCTCCTCAGCCGATTCTTCTTCAGTGCTTTTGAATTATGCATATTTAATTCTAGTTCCATATTGCTTATACTGCTGCTTATAGGTTCAGCTTTAGTTCTGAAAGCAGATTCCTTTGTCAGTGATTCTGTTGGGTTAGCATTCTTCTCCTTCTGAACATAATCATCTTTTGTTTCATTTTCATGACCACCATTAGCAATATTCATCACTTGACCATTCTGCTCCACTTGGTCAGTTTCCTGATTTATCTTTTCAGGAGTCTTTTGAACAACTGCCAAATCTACTTTCTTGATGAAATCCTCAGGATGAAGGCCTGATGTTCTCCTTTTACGCTTTAATTTATTTGTAAGGGGACGTTCTTGTGCTATCTGAGGTTCTGTAGCAACAGCTCCTATAATTAGATCTTCAGTTACATGGCTCAAATGAGGGAGAATTGCCTTCCTCCGATAGGTTTTTCCAAATATTTTATCTTCAATGTTACTTTCTGCTGGTTTGGAGAGGACTCTTTCACTTTCACATATTAAAGCACTATGAGGATCACTGGCCATTAAGTCTATTTTCTCTGAAGAACTAGAATATCCATGTACTTCTTCTGGAACTTCTAATGCACCAGCTACTTCTGCATTTGATTCAGACCCCTTATCATGCAAGTCATCCAGGCCATCACTTCTGAAAAACCACTCATTAACTTTCTGAATGCTACTATTCAGTGTTAGCCAAGGAATATCTTGTGTATCTCTAACACTCTCGGAGCATGGAGGTTTCTGCTTATTCACTTCTTTTCTCTCATACAATGGATTAGCATTCATATCTACCTTTTTCTCTGTGCTAGGAGTCTGCCTATCATTACATGTTTCCTTACTTTCAGCCCATCTGCTCTGCTGGCTCCTTGTTAAGCCAGGCTGTTTGCTTTTATGACAGAATTCAGCCTTTTCTACATTCATTCTGTCTTTAGTGAGTAATAAACTGCTATTCTCATGCTGTAATGAGCTGGCATGAGTATTTGTCCCACATGGCTCCACATTCAAGTTTGAAACAGAAATCCCCTGATATTTTTCTGGATGCCTCTCAGTTGCATGCTTCTTAAGGGTATTCAGATCTTTATTACTGGACTGATGATATTCAAGGTTTGTTATATCCTTCTCAGACAACTCACAAGCAGCTGAAAATATACAAAAATAACAAGATACTTAAAAACTGAATTATCCTAAAAAATAAATACTTAATATAACTTAGGGGTGGAAATCAAGCAATGGCTATTTTTAGAGACACTAAACTCATAAACTACCAAGTATACTGAAGTTGCAGTCCATGCCCCATTATTTAATTCTTATTTAGCTAGGCTCTCATTATTTCCATTTAAGATAATTAAAATTTTAATTTCAGAATATTCCCTACTCATAGATTGGCGGGATCACGGAAGATATTGCCCCCAGACTCTCTGTTGGCCCAGAGTTGAAACCATTCCCAAGGCCAACTCTTCAGATAAAGATTAGACTGGACTATGGGACATATAAAGTGATACTCGTGAGGAGTGTGCTTCTCAGCTCAAGTAGACACATGAGACTAAATGGGCAGCTCCTGTTGGAGGCGAGATGAGAAGGCAGAGAGGGTCATGAGCTGGTTGAATGGACATGGGAAATCCGAAGTAGAAAGGAAGAGTGTGCTGTCATAGTATAGGGAGAGCAACTAGGGTCACACAGCAATGTGTGTATAAATTTTTGTGTGAGAAACTGACTTGAATTGTAAACTTTCACTTAAAGCACAATAAAAAAAGAAAGAATATTCCCTACTCATAAACCACACCTCTTACTTCCCTAACCTCTAAGCGTGAATTAAAAGCAGACTGCTTGGGTATTAGACACACAGTGCTCTGTTCTATCTTCAGGCTCATATTATTCCCTATATTTAAAAACCAGTTGGCAAAAGATAAAATACACATCTATTAAAGTAAAGGGCAACAATCAGTTACACAGAGTACTATTATAATCTAGTACCACTAAAATATATCAGGCTGTACCATGACATCTGAGAAAGAATGATCCGCTAACTCTGCCAGGTGATGTTGTGAATTATAAATGTTCCAAATGGTCTTCTGAATAATCTTAATTATAGGACTGCATCTACCCATTCTCTCTTAACTGTCTGTTAAGTTGGGAAGATTTGCCATTACCTTTTTTTGTAGGATCCAAACTGGCTTCAGCCTTGGCTCCTTGAGGGGCAGTTTGTAACAATTCTTGGTCTACCACACTATAGGGAAAAGACAGAAGCCCTAATGAGAAAGACTAGTTATATTCTTAAAGAATTGATATATGAGCAAGATCAAATATTTTAGCTCCCCCAGGTAGAGTTCCAGTAAACTGACTGTCATGGATTGAATTGTGTTCCCCCAAAATATCTGTCAACTTGGCTGGGTCATGATTCCCAGTATTGTATGATTGTGTACCATTCTGTAATCTGATGTGATTTCCTTATGTGTTGTAAACTCTATCACTATAATGTAATAAGATGGATTAGCAGCAGTTATACTGATGAGGTCTACAAGATTAGATAGTGTCTTAAGCCGAACTCTTTTGAGATATAAAAGAGAGAAGCAAGCAGAGACACATGGGAACCTCATACCACCAAGAAAGCAGTGCCAGGGGCAGAGTGTGTCCTTTGGATCTGAGGTTCCTGCGCAGAGAAGCTTCCAGACCAAGGAAAGACTGATGACACGGACCTTCCTCCAGAGCTGATGGAGAAAGCATTCCCCTGGAGCTGATGCCCTGAATTCAGACTTGTAGCCTACTGGACTGTGAGAGAATAAACTTCTCTTTGTTAAAGCCATCCACTTGTGGTATTTCTGTTATAGCAGCACTAGATGACTAAAACACTGACCAACCTGATTCATTCTTTGAAGTTTCTTCTCTCCTTTAGTAACTTGTAATTGAAATGAAACAGTCAAAGACTGAGGACACACAGACACAAAAATCAGAGCAGCAGTGTAGAACAGTGCTTTATGGACATGCAAATGAGAACCAAAATGTAAATGACGGCCAAAATATAGTCAAAAAAATAATCTTAAAACTATATCTTAAAACCTCAAAAAAAAAAAAAAAAAAAGGTGTATCTTAATGAGAAGGCAGGAGCAAAGATATATAAACAAAGGGAGCACTTGAGCACTAGGGGAAACAAGGCATTTGAGATAAGCCATGCAGACGGAATGCAAAGACCATCTTGCTACTATGTCTTCTGGGCTTCTTTTTAAGCTAAAAAACTTCATCCCAATTGTGAGATTAGGAAAAAGGCATTTGCAAACAAAAACTGATTAGCAATGATACCATCATAGTTTAGATAAGCTATCACAGATCTTAAACAAGGTCAAGCAGTGATTTCTAAGGAAAGCAATCTGGCAGGCAACCCAGTTAGAGTTGCTTATAGATTAATGTATAATTTATATAGACAAAGTCTGAAGGATAGGTGGAATTAAGAAGCAAAGAAAGAGAAGAGATGAAATTGGAGTCCTCCAAAATTTTCATCAGCCGCAATTACCACTGTGTCAATACAAGCGTATGTGAGGAACTAAACCAGAGAACAACCATCTTCTGTCAGTGAGCCTGTGCAGAGTTCTCCTGTTATCTTAAATTCCCTTGGATATTACTAACAAAGCAAACAAACAAGAAGGTATTTCCTCAGCTCTCAAATGATGGGATTAAACTAGAGGATTTCTAAGGTCTCTTACAAATGCGTTGATTCTAAACTAGAGAGACCAGTCCTTAATACATAGCTTAAGATATCAACTTCACTGACAAAGGCTCTCTTTGACTCACCTGTAATAACTTGCTTTATTAACTGTATCTTCAGAAGAATCAGATCCTAAAAAGATTCCCCAAATACCCCCAAAAAATAAATCAGTAAAAGGTTTTTTTATTGAAAGGGTTAAACTCAAAAAAACAAACGTGCTGCAAAACAGATACTCATTTATTCCAGAAATATTTACGAAGCACCCACTATGTGGCAGGCATAGCAACAGCTATCTCAGGCAATACAGAGAAGTGGTTAAATGCACTGGTTCTGAAGTCAGATTTCCTAGGTTTGAATCTTGGCTCTGCTACTTACTAGCTTTACTACCTTGGCAAAATTTCTTAACCTCTCTGTGCATCAATTTCCTCATCTGTCAAATGAGTATAATAAAATAGTAACAACCCCAGGGGTCTGTTGTACACCTTAAATGAGTTATACAAGTAAAACACAATGGTGCCTGGAATATATATAGTAAGTGCTCCTAAATGTTAGCTATTATAATTATTTTCATTATTTTTATGACACAACACCTGTTGTCCAGGAACTTATGATCTTAAGGTGGGGGAGAGGGGAAAAAGACATACAGGTAATTTCAAAAAAATCCAGTAAGTGCTATGGCAAACATATGGTAGTGAGCTTGGGAGCTCAAAGGAGTCCACCTTTTCTAATTCTGAATATATTCTAAAAGATAAGGCAATTAGAGAGACATGTTTGAATTCTGAGTTCAGCTCTTCTAAAAAGGCTTCCTACTCTAGTACAATTTATTCCGGATCCCTCCAGATGCTGTAACTCCCCACATTTCCTAAGCGTATTTACACATACTTATAACCACACATCCCTTCTTTTGCTCCCTTTATAAAGTAAGGTTTTTCCAGGTGGGAACTGCATCTTTTACGTTATTTATAGGGAGAGTAAAATCATTTTCTTTTTTGCTTCCCAAATCTCACTGCCACATGTATAAATTATGACCAAAGTTTTCGTTAAGACTGGAAGACAAGAAAATCCGCAACTATTATTCTTAACTTACAAAATCCGAGATCCTTACCTAATTCAATGTAGACAGATTTATTTTGAAGTTGTGTCTGCTGCTTTGTCCTCAGAGATCTCACAATTCCAAAGTTAGAGAGCTGGACACTAAGACTGGTTTCCTGCTAAGCAATACAGTAAAGTCAACTAACTTTTGTTCAGTTCTGTGCTTTTTTTCTGAAGAGAAACTTGAGGCCATGAACAACTAACTAAAAATAACTAAAATTTATACGACACCTGGAAAAGATGGTTGGCAAATTATACATTAAAATGTCTGGGTTATGTGTGATTTGAATATTTTTTCCTCCCTCTGTTCTAAATTTTTCTAAACTGAGTATGTATTATTTGTGTAAGTTTTTGAAGTATTTTGAAGCTAATTCATATTATAGGGTGAGAAGGGAATGAAATTCATTTAATACGCATTTCCAGTTGCATCTGATAACAGGGTTGGCAATTAACCCTGTTAACTAAATAAATTTTTTAAAAAAGTAAATGAAGACAATAAAAACCCGGCCTTCCTACGAATACTTAGTAAGAGAAAGAATTAAAAGCCCAACAGTACTTTGATGAAACTTTTCTTTTTCCTTTTCTCTTTCTGAAGCCATTGAAAAAGGAATGCTGATACCATGGAAGCTATTATTTAAGATCTCCGTTATACAAGTAACAACAGAGCAACCACTGCATTTTCTTTGACAACTATACCTTTTAGGTTGACGTAATTATCAAATGTTAAAATCTGATTTTTTCCCCCTAGGAAACTTTTCAGAGGAAATAAAATAGGAAATTTTTCCTCATGCCTAAAGAATTGCCATAAGATGGTTATTTTAAAAACCAGTAAGCTTAAAAACATCAGTAACTTTATGGCTGTTTTGGACAAGCAACACAGCAGATAAAGCACCAAAGCAGGAAAAGAGCCCATAAGGTCTCTCTCAACCACAGCCAGTACACCAACCTTCCTGAACTCATCTAACTCTTGCTGATTAAAACACTTGTTCACACACTTATTTCACCATCTTACCTTCTTTACTGACTTATTTATGTAAGTCACTCAGCATCTAGCACATTTGCTAACTCACGATGCTCAACAGAAATGTTGCCAGAATAAATGAAAGTGAATTTACCAACGCAGGATTTTCAGGTTCACTTTGTCGAAGACTTTTGGCACGGTTTCGGTAGCCCATACTTTGGATGATAGAAACTTCCTCCTTTACATGCTCAGGAGAGTTATTTTCCTTTTTTGAAAAGTTGTAACTGTTTGCAACTGTTGAATTATAAGAGAAAACATTATTTTTGTAGTTAGAAAAAGAATTATTGATTATAATCAAGGAAACCAAGAGAAATCCTACGTACGCTGTTTGTTGTGTTAAGACAATACATTAAGGTTACCTATAACTTTTTAATTTTTTAAATCAACTTTGGAAGTTCTACTCCCAGGAAATAAACAAACAGACCATCAGCATTATTTCTACTCCTTTTTTTCTCATCTCAATACTAACAAATTTGCCTAAGATCATATATCGTTGAATCTAACATCAACGATGCAAGATGCACCATTATTTTCTGTACCACTAAGAAAGAAAACACACTAAATTAAACAATGACACACCATCAATGGTAAAATGCTCCTAATTTTGGAGATGTTAAAATGCGAAAAATGTGCATCTTAGAATTGATAAAATAAGGTGTGAGACCAGTGGAAGTGATTTAAAAAAATAGATTACAGACATAGAGCTAAAATTAACCTAGACAAAAAGGTCATATCATCTATTCATAGAAAATAATTGTGCAAACTTCTTGAGTTTTAATGGACAGCCACTTGAACATTGGCCTCTGGGGGTATGCAACACTTACGCTGTAATCCTGTGTCGAGTTCAAAAGCATGAATGATTTTCAATAGCTCTTCAACAAGTTGACTAAATCTTGTACTTTCCTGTAGGCTTCTGAAATTAAATTGTTTGAGAGATATACTTAAAAGCAAAGTTTATCCACTTTTTAAGGGCACTGCACAAAAAACATACTCTTCTTAACATCTGAACCCCTCCCAAACCCCCGTTTCTAGCTCTGCTTCTCAGGAATTTCTGTCAAACAATGATTACATTGTTTTGAAAATACAGATAGATTACAATGTCCAAAGAGAGATTTTGGCTTAGGAAAGTGGTAGGAAAATGTAATTCATTCATTCCCTTAAATATCTGACTATTGAGACAAAATCACTGCCTTAACAGAACTTACACTTTGGCAGGAGAGACAGACAATAAATAAATTCGTTATGTGTGTGTGTATGATTAGGCAGAAATAAACGCAATGAAGAAAAATCAAAACAGGATCAGCAGACAGAATGGGGACAGGGTGGTTGGTGCAGTCTTATTTTAGGTAAGACTGTAAGTTCTTGAGCTATTTGGGAACATTAGAAAAAGGCAATAAACTGCGAATACATTTATAAGGCAGATGCTCCATAAAGCTTTCAGGAAAATGGCTTTAGAAATAACTTACTCTGTCTTCTCAACACATTTTTATACATTTTTCTACTGACGGACAGTTTGACAGGAATACCAGCTATGATATTAAAGAATATCTACTTTTTCCTGCTGTTTTGCATCCCATCACTACACAAATTATATACCTTTTGGTTATATCATTCTTACACAAAGGGCATTGTGAAGGTCCTTTCTTCTGGTTGAGAAGTTTCAGCATACAAAATCTATAAATTTTAAAGAAAGAAAAGAGCAATTCAAGTTACTTTCTTTTGTACAGAGAATATTCAAAAGGCAAATAGCCATGAAAAGATAATCTCACAACTGCCTTAAGAAGCCATTTTAAAGGTGATGGCAGGTGTATTACAACAAATGACTTTCTCTAACTGCTTTCAGATGCTGCATAAGCAGAAAACCACAATACATAAGCAATGATCTATGAAAACTGAACTTAACATGCACATGGCTTACTGTTATGATCAAATAAAATTTATTAAAAACTTAATATGGTATATTCAATGATATATTCATAATTGTTTCATGCTGTATAATCTGACATAAATGTTAAGTAGTTCATATAAAATCATTATAATTAGTTTAAAACCTCAGTTCCTTACTACAAAGCTAAAGTAATCAAGACCATGTGCTACTGACTTAAGGATAAACGTATCTATTGATCAATGGAATAGAATTGAGTCCAGAAATAAACCCATAAATCTGTTGAATTGTCAATTGGTCAATGATTAATTGATTTACCATATGGATGCCAAGACAATTAAACAGGAAAAGAACAGTCTTTTCAACAAATGGTACTGGATATCCATATGCAAAAGAATGAAGTTAGACTCTTACCTCACACAAAATTTAACTCAATTCACGAAAATTAACTCAAAAGGGATCATAAACCTAAGTGTAAAGGCTAAAACTATAAATCTTTGTGACCTTGGGTTAGGCAATCGTTTTTTTACATATGAACACCAAAAGTATAAGCAACAAAGAAAAAATAGATAAATGGAATTACATCAAAATTAGCAAATGATACCATAAAGAAAGCAAAACACTCCACAGAATGGAAAAAAAATTTGGAAATCATACACTTGATAAGGAACTTGTATCCAGAATACGTAAAGAACTCTCACAACTCAATAATAAAAAGAAAACCCAATTAATAAAATGAGCGAAGGATTTGTATAGATATGTCTCCAAAGGAGATACACAAATGGTGCGGTACAATGGATCGCTTTTGTGTGGCCTTTCTTGCCATGGTTTTGTAACTGCCACTCAGGTGACTGGGAGGCACTGTGCAGACAGGGTAATTGTGGCCCACCAAAGGGATTGGTCAGTTTTGCCATCCTGCTGGGCTTGAAATGAGCCACCCACGAGGCAGGAGAGAGAGGATCCTACCACCACTAAGGAAGAACAGCCAGGAGTGCAGAGTGCATCATTTGGACCCAGGATCCCCACATTGAGAAGCTCCTGGACCCAAGAGACAGAAAGTGAGCTGTAACTCTGAAGACGGGGAGAAGCGGTGGCAGGAGAGACCAGGCAGCAGAGACTCAGCATCAGGAGGCAGTGTGGTGGGCTTCCTGGCCCATGCAGCAAGAAAGCCAAGTGCCTTTGGGCAGAGGTCTAGGGCCAGAGAGAGGTATGCCTGCGAGCACAGCTGAAAAGAGGCTGTCCTGATAGAAGAACTGTATCCTGAGTGTTCCTGAGCCTTAATTGTAACCTGTTACTTTCCTAATAAACCCTATAATCCTGAGTGTTGTCTGTGAGTCCTGTGTGGCCATTGCAATGAATTACTGAACTCAGCAAAGAAGTAGAGAGGGCCATGAGAGGGACAGTTGGTATCAGAATTGGTAAAGATGGAGGAGAGAGGAAGCATTCCTCTGCATCAAAGTAATCAGTCTTGGGCTGTTGATTTTGATTATCCTTCCCCCTTGTAAAGAGAGAGGAGGTCAGACAACGTCCCCATGTTGTTTTTACAAACGGCCAAGAAGCATGTGAAAAAATGCTCAATATCATTAGTCATTAGGAAAATGCAAATCAAAACCACAATGAGATAGATATTATTTCACACCCACTAAACCCAAAAAACCCACTGCCCTCAAGTTGATACTGACTAATAGCGACCCTACAGGACAGAGTACAACTGCCCCATAGGGTTTCCAAGGAATTGCTGGTGGATTCAAATCACCAACCTTTTGGTTAGCAGCCAAGCTCTTACCGACTGTGCCATCAGGGCTCCAAAGTTACCATATGACCCAGCAATTCCACTCCTAGGTATTTACCCAACACAAATGAAAACATATGTCTACACAAATATTTGTACATAAATGTTCACAGCAGCATTATTCATAGTAGCCAAAAAGTAGAAATAATCCAAATGTCCATCAACTGATGAATGCATAAACAAAATGGGATATCCATACAATGGAATATTATTTAGCCATAAAAAAGAATGAAGTACTGATACATGCTACAACATGGATGAACCTTGAAAACATTACGTTAACTGAAAGAAGCCGGAAATAAAAGGCCACAATTTATATGAAATGTCTGGAACAGGAAAATCCAGAGACAGAAAGTAGATTAGTTGCCTAGGGCTGTGGGGGGTGAGAATTGGCAATGGAGAGTAGCTGCTAATGAGTACGGGGTTTATTTTGGGGGGCGGTGATAAAAAATGTTCTAAACTTAGACTGAATGATGATTGCATAACTCTGTGAGTATGCTAAAAAAAACCCAAATCGTGCATTTTAATTGGGTGAATTTTATCTCAATAAAAAATGTTTAAAAAAAAAAACCAACTAAGGGCAGGGACCAAAACCAGCTTATTTTTGCATTTTGCTAGCATAGAAAAGCTGCTCACTAGAAGTCTAAGGAATGAAGAAGGCTTTGGCTTTTTGGGACCCTTGGGCTTTTGGAATGGCTCTGGACCTAGAGTAACTTTGTTGGTTGTCTCAGACCAAGCAGCAATAAAAGAATATGGCTAAGAAGACTTGAAGAACACATGCAACATATTCTGATGGGTTAGCCTCCTTTGTAAACAAATGAAAATACTGCTCTCATTGGCTGGTCTTGTCTGTAAAGGTTGACATCCCACAGGAAGAAGACAAAAAAATAAAAAATTAACACGGTGCTATGTGTCCTTTCAGGAATTTTTAAATTCAAGAATTCTTAACTTGGGGTTCATGAATGGTCTACATGAATTTCCGAAAATCATATTCAATTTTAAACTCAACTCCATTCAAAACTATGGGCATGAGGTGGGATGGCAATATACTTTGCATTATATACTTATGTGCTAGTAAACTCATTATCATGCACATAGTTTGCTTTTTCAATTAAAAAAACAATACTTAAAAAGAAATTAGGTTGGCATTCAGGGCAAGACTAGACCCTAATTTAACCTTAGGGAAAGCCCCATTTCCCACCAAATTACCTACCCTACTTTTTCTGAAATTCTTCCATCAAGAAACAAAGATTTTCACAAAAACTAATTCAAAGTGGATCAAAGACCTAAATATAAAACCAAAAACTATAAATATCATGGAAGAAAGAATAGGGTCAATACTAGGGGCCCTAATATATGACATAAACAGCATGCAAACCATAATTAACAATACACAAACACCACAAGATTAGCTAGATAAATACAATCTTCTAAAAATTAAACACTTATACTTATCAGAAGACTTCACCAAAAGAGTAAAAAGAAAACCTACACACTGGGAAAAAAATTTTGGCTATGACATATCCAACAAGGTCTAATCTCTAAAATCTGTAAGAAAATCCAACACATCTACAATAAAAAGACAAATAATTCAATTAAAAAATAGGCAAAGGATATGAACAGATACTTCACCAAAGAAGAAACTCAGGCGGCTAACAGACACATGAGGAAATGCTCGTGATTACTAGTGTAAAAATGGCTTGGGGGAGGTATCTGACCTCCTGCAACCTCACAAGGCAGAAAGAGAACAAAGATCAACAGCCCAAGGCTGGTTCCTATGAGGCAGAGGTCAGACACGCCTTCTCTCTTGGCCATCTCTACTAATTCTGACACCAACCAGCCCTCACACAGCACTCTCTACTGGGTTCGATAATTCATTGCAATGGCCACACAGAACTCACAGACCATACTCACAATTAAGGGGTTTATTACGGAAGTAACAGTTACAATTTAGGCTGAAGAATACTCAGGATACAGTTCTTCCATCAAGATAGCCTCTGCCCAGCCATGCTCACAGGCACGCCTCTCCCTGGCCCTCAGCTTCTGCCCAAAGGCACTCAGCTTTCTCTCTCTGTGGGCTGCGAAGCCCACCGTGCAGTCTCCTGCTGCCGTGTCTCTCCTTCCTTGGTGGTGGTGGGCTCTTCTCTCTGCTCTAGAATTGGCTCTCTTTTAAGGCAAAACTGACCAATCCCCTTGGTGGGCCACAATTATCTTATTTGCACAGCCCCAACCAATCACCTGGGTGGGAGTCACAAGACCATGGCTAGAAAGGTCACACACAAAAGTAATTAATCACATCACACTAGCCATTAGAGAAATGCAAATTAAAACTACAATGAGATATCATCTCAGCCCAACATTATTGGCACGAATAAAAAAAACAGAAAATAACCAATGTTGGAGAGGTTGTGGGGAGATTGGAACTCTCATGCACTGCTGGTGGGAATGCAAAACGGTACAAACATTTTGGAAAACAATATGGCGCTCCTTAAAAAGCTAGAAACAGAAATACCATATGATTCAGCAATTCCGCTCCTAGGAATATATCCTAGAGAAATAAGAGCCGTCATACGAATAGAGATATGCATACCCATGTTCACTGCAGCATTATTCACAATAGCAAGAAAAAGGAAACAACCTAAGTGCCCATCAACAAATGGATAAACTATGGTACATACACACAATGGAATACTACACAAGATAAAGAACAATGATGAATCTGTGAAACATCTAACAACATGGATGAATATGGAGGGCATTATGCTGAGTGAAATAAGTCAATCACAAAAGTATACAAATACTGTGTGAGATCACTATTATGAAAATGTTTCCACACAGAAACAATCTTCAGTGGTTACCAGGGAGGGGAGGGGTGGGAAAGGAAAAACACTAACTCGATGGTAGATAAGTGGTAACTTTGGTGAAGGGTAAGACAGTACACAATACTGAGGAAGTTGGCACAACTTTACCAGGGCAAAGTCACAGAAGCTTCACAGACACATCTGAACGCCCCAAGGGACTGAGCTACTGGGCTGAGGGCTAGGGACCATGGTCTTGAGGGACATCTAGCTCAACTGACATAATATAGTTTATAAAGAAAATGTTTCACATCCGACTGTGGTGAGTAGCGTCTGTGGTATTAAAAGCCTGAGAGTGGCCATCTAAGATACATCTACAGGTTCCATCCTGGCAGGAGCAAAGGAGAATGAAAAAGACCACAGACACAAGGAAAAGATTAGTCCAAAGGACTAACTGACCACAACTACCACAACCTCCACCAGACTGAGCCCAGAACAACTAGATGGTGCCTTGGTACCACCACCGACTGCTCTGGCAGAGATCACAATAGAGGGTCTTGGACAGAGCAGGAGAAAAACATAGAACAAAATTCATATTCATAAAAAACAAAACCAGTCTTGCTGGTCTGACAGAGACTGGAGAAATCCCAAGAGTATGGCTCCTGGATGCCCTTTCAGCTCAGTACTGTAGTCACTCCTGAGGTTCACCCTTCAGCCAAAGATTAGAGAGGTCTGTAGGGCCAACAGAAACCCTGGTGACGTAGTAGTTAAGAGCTACGGCTGCTAATCAAAAGGTTGGCAGTTCTAATCTACCAGGTGCTCCTTGGAAACAATATGGGGCAGTTCTACTCGGTCCTATAGGGTCACTATGAGTCAGAATCGACTCAAAGGAATGGGCTTGGTTTTTTTAGTTTATAGAGCCAACAATAACACATATGAGACATGCTTCATAGTTCAATCATGTATACAAGACTAATAGGAACACCTGCCCAAAAGCAAAGATGAGAAGGCAGGAAGGGACAGGAAAACTGTACAAATGGAAACAGGGAATCTGGGGTGGAGAAGAGGAGAGTGTTGATACACTGAGGGATTGGCAACTAATGTCACAAAACAATTTGGGTATTAACTGTTTAGAAAAAGAAAAAGAGACAAAGATTTTCATTTCAAAGGGCAAAATCCTTGAATATGTAAATATCACTTGAATCATTAATATGGATGAGTATCAGCCTAAATGTAAACTAATATCAGATCTTTTTCCATCTTTACAAGGGTTATAAGGCAAGCAAACAACAAATCTTAGAAGGGGAAAAGCAGAAAATGCAGAAATGAACAGAAGGAAGACTGAGAAGGCTGAACCTTGATTTGTTCATTTCACAATTACTTGCAGTTTGTTTTCACTCAAGGACACAAAAAACAAACAACTGTTCAAAGTGATTTCATATCCCACGAGACAAGACATGCTAATATTTTACCAGGACTATGGCCACAACCAACTCATGATGAATTCATAAATACGCTCTGAGGCAGAGTGAAATAGATTCATGTTGGCTATTTCTTCTTAACTGAAAAAGTTAAAGCTTCTATAAAATTAAATGTTTCCTTTTTTATGAAGGACAAGTACAAGAGTTAATAATGGTGCCATGTGAAACATGCAAACTTACTTGCAAAATATATGGTCACATTTTGTGGAAACAGGCTCTTTGATTAACTCCAGACTAGAAGAGTAGGGAGAAAAAACAAAATAAATGAACAAAAAAGCGAATAATAAATGAGGTTCAATAATTTATTTAAAAATAAATAAGTATGTATAGTAAAGTAGCTCAACTTTAGGCTGCTATAACTGAGTCAAGGTAAGGCGTTAAGTTCATTGAATAAACATTTATTAAATGTGTACTGTGCTGGGTGACAAGAATACAGCAGAGAATATGATCCTTACCTTCACTGAACTTTCAGACATCAAAACAGAATTACACCAATCTCTTCAATACTCTCCATTTAGCATTTAAAAAATTAGTTGCTAATACTTCATATTAATTAGTTTTCACTGATAAGGCTGCTTCGAGCTATTATTGTGGGTATAAACCCTATTTCTTAACTGAACTCTAAGGTCTGTAAAGACAAAAACTTCTGTTTGCATTTCTTTAAGATTACCTCATAGCACTTTTTAATACTTTTTTTGTGTGTGTAGTAAATATGTAACACAATATTTGCCGTTTCAACAATCTTCACATGTACACTTCAGTGACATTCAAATGTACTTTTTTAAAAATGTGATTGCCTTTTTACTTTTAACTTCTTAATATGGAAAATTTCAAGCATTATACAAACAGAATAGTAAAATGAACTCCTCGTACCATTACCCAGCTTCAACTATCAACTTACGGCCAGTCTTATTTCATCTATACCCACACTCCCATCCCCAGATTATTTTAAAACAAATCCCAGTCATCATATCATACCATCTATAAATATTTCAGAATATATCTTTAAAAGATAACATTTTAGCATAACCATGAAACCATTATTATTCCTTGAAAAACGAAGTTTCCTTAATATCATCTAAGATGCAATTAACGTTCCAGTTTCTCTCATTGCCTCTTAGCATTTGAATAGTTAAATTTGTTTAAATCAGGACCCAAATAAGGTTATACACACTGCATTTAATTGACATGTCTCAAGTCTCTTTTAATCTATAGATTTCCTTTCCTTTTCCCCCTTGTCATTTATTTAAGAAAGTAGGTCGTTTGACTTGTAGAATTTTCCACATTCTGGAAGGAGTCCCTGGCTGGCAGAAATGGTTAAGCGCTCTTCTACTAGGGGAAAGGCTGGCAGTTCTAACCCACCCAGAGGTGCCTTGGAAGACAGGTCTGGCGATCTGCTTCCAAAGGTCATAGCCTTGAAAACTCTATGGAGTGGTTCTACTCTGCACACATAAGGTTGTCATGAGTTGGAATTAACTCAACAGCAACTAACAACAACCACAACAACCCCATGGTATGGTTTTAACATGTTCCTCCAGCCTCTTTATTCCCTGTACACTAGACTAGACTTGATCAAATTCAGGTTCAATTTTTTGGCAAGAACACTTTACAGGAGGTGCTATGTACTTTTATTGCATCACTTCAGGAGGTATACGATGTATGCTTTGTAATTACTTTGCAAAACAAAATAATAAAACGCTCACTATAGAAAATAATAAACTTAGAAAAGTATAAAGATTTTGAGAAAAGAGAATACCAAATTTCCATCTATAAAGTTATCATCCTACCTGTCCATCCACAAAATCTTCTTGAAACTCATTCATTTACTCATTTGACAAGTATTTATTGAGCATCTATTATATGCAAGCACTGTTCTTGGGGCTGGAAATACAGCAGTGAACAAAATAAAGTCTGTCTTCATGGAGCTGACATTCTAGTTGTGGTAGACAGTTGGTAGAAAAATAAAAAGATACGGGAATAGGTGCTAAAGAGAAAAAGCAGGGTAAGGGGGCTAGGGAGTGCAGTGGGGGTGGGAGTGTTTATATTCTATATAGGGTGGTCAGCAAAGGCCTCACTGAGAAGGTGACATTGGACGACAGCTGAGTAATATAAGGAAATAAGCCCTGAAGCATTTAGGGGAAGAATATTCCAATGGATGGGGTACAGAAGACAAAGATTCTGAACAGGGGTATGCCTGGAGTATTTGAGGGATAGCATGTAGGCCAGGGTCTAGGATGGAACGTTCAAGATGAAAGTAGTAGGAGATGAGGTTGGAGAGATAGCTGGGGTCCTAAGTAGGTAGGACTCTGTGGGCCATTGTAAATCTTTAACTTTTATTTTGAATGAGAGTTTTAGAAACTGATTTTTGGTAAAATCTAGGCAGAACATCAAAGAACAGGTAATGTAGTAGGTGACAGGAATGTGGTTCTTTTCATTAAATGTTTAACTTTTTTGGAAAGGATCACAAGAAAAGTTGGGAGACAATGGCTTCATTGTGAAGGGCCTGGTAACACAACTCATAATCATGGGGTTTCTGACACAAGTTCTTTTTTTTTTTTTTATTAGCAGAGTGACTTTTTGGCCAAGCTCTCCATCTGAACTTCAGTTTCCTTTTCTGTCACCTGCCCTGTCAGTTACCTCAGACTATTGTGAGAACCAAATGCTTTGTACAAATGTTAGTATTATTATATGGACCAAATGTGACTTTAAAAAGAAAAACAACACCAATAAAGAGAACTCTAACTTGTTACTAAGTCACTATTCCTGAGATAAGCTAGCTATCATAGAAATTCGCAGTAAAAGAAAAAATTGGATTTAGCTATGATACCAGATGGCTTTCATTCTCACCACTGACTCAATTCTGAAATAATTATATTTCAGTATGGTAATTATAATCCAAGCTATACAAACATATCGTAAACACAAACTTTGAACAGATGAAAACCCCAATATGCAAAAAGATAATGACTGTTGAAGGAAAAGCTTGAAGAGGGAATAGAAGTGAAAAGGAAAAAATAAAAATGTTCCTCTTATAGGTGCTGATGAGAGCGAATGTTTACTATGAAAGTGATACAAATATTTTAAATACTTTTCAAACCAGACAACATTTTTGGCCTACTATATATTTGCATTTTGAGCTCCAACATGAAAAAGTAAATGAAAAAAGAAGGTAGGTTAGGTTCCAGAAAAACAACAACCACCTACCAGGGTACACATTTTAGCAAATTCTTCTGAAAGTCAAAACTGTTATATAGCTGTCTTAGTCATCTAGTGCTGCTATAAAAGAAACACAAGTGGATGGCTTTAACAAAGAGAAGTTTATTCTCTCACAGTCTAGTAGGCTATAAGTCCGAATTCAGGGCACCGGCTCCAGGGGAAGGCTTTCTCTCTCTGTAGGCTCTGGAGGAAGGTCCTTGAGATCCATCAGTCTTTCCGTGGTCTGGGAGTATCTCAGAGAAGGAACCTTGGGTCCAAAGGACATGTTCTGCTCCTGGCACTGCTTTCTTGGTGGTAAAAGGTCCCCTGTCTCTCTGCTTGCTTCTCTCTTTTATATCTCAAAAGAGAATGGCTTAAGACACTATCTAATCTTGTAGATCTCATCAATATAACTGCCACTAATCTACCTCATTACATCATAGTGATAGAATTTACAACACATAGGGAAATCACGTCAGATGACAAAATGGTAGACAATCATACAATACTTGGAATCATGACCTAGCCAGGTTGACGGACATTGTAGGGGAACACAATTAAATCCATGACAATAGTTATGCATTAAAATGTAGAAAGAACTACCAACAATCAGAAATAACAGCCAAGAAGGAATTTTAGAGGCCAGAAATTTAGATTAAGAGACCTAAAAGAAGCTGAAAACTTATTCTTTAGCTACCACAAGTAATACTGTTTCCAGTCATCATCAGCAATCATGTATTAAGACATAACTGCAAAACAAAACAAAACAAAAACCCTGCAAATTATACTGTTCTGGGTGCCGTTAAAAAAAAAAAGTGAAGTCAGTATGATCCCCATTCTAGAACTTTCCATTTAAACAAGTTTAAGGTTTAAAAGGATCCCTGGTGCATGGACTAGTTGGTGCAGTTAAGCACTGAACTACTAGCCCAAAGGTTGGCAGTTCAGATCCACCCAGAGGCACCTAATAAGACAGGCCTGATGATCTGTTTCCAAAAGTTCACAGCCTTGAAAACCCTATGGAGTAGTTCTACTCTGCACACATGAGATTGCCATGACAACAACAAGGTTTAAAAATGACTAGGATGAATAGTTTGGGTTTAAAAGCCTAAAACTATTTCTAATGGAAAATGAGTAAAATCAATAAGCTGGCAAACACACAATAGTTGACTGAAAATGAAAATTTGGCCTTAACTTTCATTCTTGCATCTTTAATTTTTATGTAACTGAGTTTTTTAATTGATGGTTTAATTTGCCAGAATGAGAAAGAACATTACATTTTTATGACTTAGTCCCATGGAAATATAAAGTAAATGGACCCAAATGCCATACTATGGAGATCACTCTTCATAATTATCATGAGGATTCTGCAGTAACTTGTGCTTTTTCAAAAGCAATTTTTTTTCCAAATTGTCATTTCCTGCTTCCCTGGCTCTGATGTTTCATAAATTAGGCTGTAAATCTCGTTTAGCTCTTATGGTTTTGTTTAGTTGAAATGCTGAGGGCAAGTGAAAGAAGGATTACTTATAGATCTTGCCTACCTCTGAAAACATAAAACATAACTTGCAGTTTCCTAAAGGTTATTTATTTGACTCCATATATCAAAAACAACTTTCATGAAACACAAAGGAAACTGTACCCGAATTTACCTTCCTTCTTGAAGAGCAGGGACACCTTTCAATTTATTTTTTGAATGCTACTGCCATGTGATGAATTGCTTGATATGGTCCTTTTAGTCATAGTCTTTGTGACTCCCATACAATGACTAGATGGGACATGCAAATAAAGTATATGGAAACTGCGATGGTTACAACTTGGCTAGGCCACGATTTCCAGTATTGTGTAATTGTCCTCCATTTTCTGGTATTGTATGTGTTGTAAATCCCAAACCTCTGGATTAGGGTGGGTTATATCTTGAGTCCCACCCTTACTAAAAGGCATGACTGAAGTGACTGCCTTACTCGTCACACCCTTGTACCAAAGAATGGGAGTTTCTCTGAAAAATTTCCCTCTCACTCTGGATCCCGCATCCAGTTCATCACCATCTGATCTCTGGTTCTTGGAGCATGAGTCAGCAGCCTGCCATCTGACCTGCTGATTCTGGGATTTGCCAGCTTACGCAGCCCCATAGGCCAGCAGCCTATCATCTGACCTGATTCGCCAGTTTCCGCAGCCTTGTGAGCCACAGTAGCCTGTCATCTGGCTTGCCAATTGGGGGTTGTTGGCCCCTGTGGCCACGGATTTGGGACTTGCCAGCCTCCAAAACTGCTTGTGCCATTCCCTTGATACAGTTCAGGAGTTCTGTGAGACATTACAGTGAATTACAGAACCCAAAGACAGGAGGGAAGGTACTAAGGGGAGGAGTAGCTTATGTTAGAGATGATGGGGCAGGGTACAGCAATTTGGAAACGTTGAATATTTGAGACATCTTTAACCTCTGCCTCATGGGAACCATTTTGTCCTAATCCTTATAAATTATTCATTTAGTTACCCACCACTAACCATCACCATGTTAAAAAAAAACTACATTATTAAAGAACTACTTTATTATTTAATTCAGTCGACAAATGTTCATTGAGTGCCTACTACGTCCCAGGCACAGTTTTAACTACTGAGGACACAGAAGCATATAAAACAAAAACTTCTGCCCTCATGATATATATATAGTCTGTGGGGATGAGTTGGAATTGACTTGACAGCAACAGGTTTTGGTGGGAGTAGAGAAAAAAGATAAATTATATAGAATAGCAAATAGTAGTAAGTGCTATGGAGAAAAATTAAGCAGGAAAAGCAGATAAGGAGTATGTCAGGGGGTGGGACTGTTGCAATTTTAAACAGGGTTGTTTGAAAATCCATCTTTGAAAGGTGGGTATTTCAGTCAAGATTTGCAAGCCATGCAATCATCAAAGAAAAGAGCATTCCAGGCAGTTGTTGTTGTTAGGTGCCATCAAGTTGGTTCCGACTCATAGTGATCCCTATGTACAACAGAATGAAATACTGCCCAGTCCAGCGCCATCCTCACAATTGTTGCTATGTTTCAACCCATTGTTGCAGCCACTGTGTCAATTCATCTTGCTGACGGTCTTGTACTTTTTCACTTTACCAAGCATGATGTTCTTCTCCAGGGACTGGTCCTTCCTGATAACATGTCCACAGTACATGAGATGAAGTCTCGCCATCCTTGCTTCTAAGGAGAATTCTGGCTGTACTTCTTCCAAGACCGGTTTGTTTGTTCTTCTGGTAGTTCACAGTATATTCAATATTCTTTGCCAACACCATAATTCAAAGGCATCAGTTTTTCTTTGGTCTTCCTTATTCATTGTCCAGGCAGAGGAAACAGGAAATGTAAAAGTTCAGAGGCAGGAGAGTGTGTGGCATGTGTGAAGAACAGTTAAGAGGCCAGAATGACCATAGTATTAAGAGAACAAGGGGGGAAGGAAGTAGGCAATAATTATCCTAATTTTCCTTTTTGGCTTTTCACCAAGAGATCCTGAGGTATGATTTTTAATTTATTTTGTAGATTTAAGAGAAACTGTAGAGATCATCTAGTGACTACTTGGGCTTCTCAATCTTTTTTGTGCCAGGGACCTCCTATGACAGTTGGTGAAGCTCATGGACTGCTTCTCAGAGTAATGTTTTTAAATATATAAAATAAAAAATTTTAAATCAAACAAGTAATTATGTTGAAATACAGTTCATCCACAGGTGTCCAAGGGTCCTAGAAAGTCTGCAGGTTAAAAACTCCTGAATACACACAAGGAACCTTTCTGGGGTGATTAAGTTGTTCTATATCTTGATTGGTGTTTGGGTTACAAATGTATATACACTTGTCAAAGCTCATTGACTTGCACGTTTAAGATCTGCGCATTTCACTGTATGCAAATTATGCCTCAATTAAAAAAAATCAACTGAATATTCTAAATTCCCTCTTCATTTTACAGATGAAGAAAAACAAAGGCTCAAAGAGTCAGAAAGATGTGCAAAACGCTTTAATGACTTGCTGTGCTCTTATTTATATGTACAGGGCTAGTTTCAGTCAAAGGTTCTCCCAAAGACCTATCCTCTCATAGACACTGATCATTCATGATTTTACCATTATGAACTATGTCCATTCCAAGTGATCAAACTAGTTTTAGAGATGGAAGAAAAGCCCAACTGTCACTTAATCCAAACCAGATTCCCACCCCAATATACAACCAATCAAGACATCTGTGGATTGGGAAAGATAAGGGGCTGTATGCGTTGAGGGGGTTGGGGGGAGAAGAGTAAGAGTGGAAAGAAAAGAACAATTTCCTATACTTTAAAGCTCTGCAGTCAAGAAAAACAGCAACTTTAATAGCCTGATCTTAATAGCTTTTTTATAATTTTTCCTCCATGACATAATTTTTTCTCACTTCTACTCACTTGCCTAAGAGATAACCATATAAAGAAGAATCTTAAATCAATAAATTCTTCTGTTGACTTACCAGATCGGACACTCTAAGATTTTCTGCATAGCATTAAGGACATTTTGTACTTCTTCAATGTGAGCCACAGAAAAATCCATTTCTTTCTGTTCCAGTGAACCTTAATACATAAATTAAGGTACATATATGTAAATACTTTAAAAGGCTTATAAAAACAACAGCTTACGCTTATATGCCAAGTCGTCTTTTTATTCTCATGTTCCCCCAGGACACGTTCCAGTCCCTATCATGATCCCCCCTCGGACACACCGTGCCCTCTTCTTTTTCCTCAGCATCTTCCTCCCGCAACCCGCACCTGCCCACTTCCCCAGACTCACAACGTCTAAGCTTCCTCAGGTTCCACCCCCCTACCAGATAAACACCCATCCTGGTCTCCTTCAGAGCCCTGATGGCGCAGTGTTAAGAGCCTGGCTGCTAACCAAAAGGTCAGCAGTTCGAATCCACCAGCCACTTGGAAACCCTATGGGGCAGTTCTACTCTGTCTCATAGGGTCGTTATGATTCAGAATCGACTCGACGGCAACGGGTTTTGCTCTCCTTCAGGCCTCTCCTTTAGGGGCCCCCTCCCCTTCATTCTCCCCACAACCTGTTTCCCGCTAGTTCCCCGAACACCCCTCTGGGCCCCTCTTCCTGCCACGGGGCTCTCTCACCCTTATCCTGACCAAAGCTTCCAGGCTTCCCAGGCCCAGGGGCCTAGTTATCAGAACAGCTCCCAGGGGCAGCCCCGGCTCAGAAAGCGTCCGGGAGCTCCAGCCGAGCAATCGCAGTTTCAATTTATCTGTAATTCCCGCGCTTTCCTGTCGCCACGGAAACTGACCGCTACCGCTGAGCGCGAGCTTCTCAGAACGAAGAGCTAGACACGTAAGCGGAAGGGCGGGGCAGAAAGAGTCTAGTCTTTCGGGGATCCGATTGGTCACCCATTCTTTCCCTGCATGATGTAATTAGAAAGAGCCGGAAAAGAAAGAATTCTACCTGTGTTTTCTGTTAGGCGCCCGCCGTCTTGCGTCCACGCCTCTAGATGCGGGTTATTACGTCATAGTAATCGCTGTACTAGGGTCGGAATCGCTACCTGAGACCCGAATATGAGCACCGGGTAGTGCCTAAAACAGTCGCAAGAAAAGGGCCTATTCCCCCGCCTTTTCTGCCTCAATGGAAGTCTCCAGTTTAGGAAAATAAACGGGCTGTGGGGGAAAAACTACGATTTCCAGCATGCATTGCGGAACGAAAGGCCTTAGCCACAGTATTCCTTGGAAACTGTAATCTTACGGAGCAGTGCGTCCGATACCGGAAGCAGGCACGATTCTCACGGAAACCGGGTTGCTAGATTGGCGACCTCTGCGCGCTTATGGACCTCGAAACATATGGATTGGAGTGTTATTCTGTTTTCGCATCTTGACAGCGGAGAGTAGGCTAACGAACCCACAAATCCTAGGAAGACTACAATTCCCATCCAGCCCCGCAAGTCTCGAGCTAGTAGTCCTCTAAGGTAATTTGAAGGAACGGAAAGGTGTGCCGCATTTCCCGGGAAGTGAAAATCCACTCTGGTCCACGTCCGCGCATTCGTAGTTCCGCCCCTCTCCTCCAGTGTTTTGTTATTGTCGTGCGGTTTAGGCTGCTCCTGCCCCGCCCCCGCCGGAGCAGCCTCGGCCAATCAATGGGGTGATAGCTTTGAGGGACAAATGATAGGAACCAATCGTCTTGTCGGAAACTCAGAGAAACAGAGCACTAGGCCCTGTCTCTATCCGCCATGTTAGATTCACCCCGTAGGGGTAGCGACAGGACTGGCCTTGAAAGGTTCTTGCACTGGTGTCCGGCAGGCGCCCCCCGGGGGCGGAAAACTGGTAAGGTAGCAGCTCCGATTCTCTCGGGGTGGGGTCATGTCGCACTTAGAAGGTTTGGGGAGGTCCTAGGGAGGAATCCTGCAAAGGAAAGGGAGGACTTATTTTGTGTGCGGGGGCAGTCGATCTTTTCAGAGACCTGGTGAGAGAGCCGTTAGTGTGAGGGACCGAGGGGGCGGATGCCGCCGGAGAGATGAAGTGTCGGTAGCTCAGAACGTCCGGCTTCTGCTGATGGAAGGCCGAAACTTCCCAGCACAAAGAGGACTAGGCAAAGAAAATGAGAGGAAGTCTTCAGAGAGTGGTGACACTATCTTGGGGGCATGGAGTGCTAGGAAATGATAACTGTAAGACTAGGATGAAAATGTCTAGAAAAAAAAAGGATTACTCACAGATCCTCATTACTCCATCCCCCCCTTCTTTTTGAGAACCTCTTAAAGCGGTCTCCTTGGTCAGGGACCTCCTGTATTGGAAAGCCATCGTTTTTCCCTATTGTCAAACACCCAGCTCTCAGGTCACACATTTTAAAGCCCTTAGAGCTTCTACAGGCCTCTGGTAGAGTAATCAAAGCTCAGGTTCCCAGTTGTAGGTCTGCTTTATTAAAGGGATTGTTAGGGTTGGAAAAAACCGACATAGAGGAAAAGATGACTTTGTGCCAAGCAAAGGTGAGTCAGTGGCATGAAATTATGATAATGCCAGTTATGAAATCTGAAGGCCTATGCCCCAGCTGCCTGGCTGTACTGACCCTAAAACTATAGGGGCAGATGGGGCTAACTATAGCTTTGGTATTTGCACAAATTCAAGATTAATGCTCTTGCTGAAAGAGTTTTCACATGAAAGCCAAACAGAGATAGGCAGTTCTTTATGAAGACCTGGCTATGGTCCAGTTAAGCTAGAATCTCCCACTTCCTGTTTTCTCCCCATCAGCAGACCAGGCAGATGAGCTCCAGAGAGTCTAAACTAATTTCCATTTGTGTAATTTGAGAAAAGAGAAGGAAGATTTAGTTTCCTGCTGGGCTCTCCAAAGTGTGGAACTGTGTTTCTTAGAAGCAGGAAAGTAGGAATGTATTTCAAAATATCCAGTTTTGGCAGGCTGAGTCAGTCACTTCTGTTCCCTAATTTTTTTTCCCCGAAGTTCCTGGGGAGTTGGACAGACAGTCTCTCCATATTTTAAGGACCCCAAGGGTTGTGTTCCATGTGAATGAATTCTAGATGTCAGCAGGATTGGCACTAAAGACTGGCATTATTTTGGAGGTGAACTTGGCTCTATGTGGGGACACAGAATGGAAAAAATTGGGTTTTGAATTTAAAACTATGCTGATCCTCAGAGTTCAGTGTTGTTTTTAATGACAGTCTCAGTTGTATTGCTTCACAAGGCAGTGGATGACACTGTGGAAAACAGGACAGTTTTAATTTCTAAAGACCAGTTTATTATAATAATTTTTATATTTGAATAACATTTTCAAGGAACTTATACACACACATTCATATTGATTTTATGATATTGTGAGGTAGGCAAGGCAGATATATTAGACCTTTTTTATGGGTAAAGGAACTGAAGCTCAGAGGTTAAATGACTTGCTCAAGGTTGTGTGGCTAGTAACTTACTAGAGCCATGTCTGGACCCCAAGTCTTTTGATCCCTTTCCTCCCCCATAACAGTGAAAACTCCCGGGACTTCATCTTGCACACCTCCTGTCTCCTGTGCCTGGAGCAGAATCTGGTTTTTTGTAGATGCTTGTTAAATATATGTTGCTGAATGTGTTTAAGAGCTGACTTTTCTCACTACAACTTAAGTTTGGATTTAAACAACGTAAGCCATTTTTCATAAAGGCATAAAAACAGTTCACCAGTACATAAACTCCTTAATTAAAAACAAACAGCTGACCAGAATAGATATTTGATATCTATTAAAGAATTATTGTTAATTTTTTTAAGCATGGTTATAGTATTGTGATTGTGTGTGCGTTTTTTTAACATTCTTATCTTTTAGAGGCACATACTCAATTATTTATGGATGAAGTGATGGTTATCTGTCAAAATGTCCACAATAATCCAGTAGGAAAGGAGTATTGACAATTGAACCTGAATTGATAAATTGTGGAAGCTGGGTTATGGGTTCATAGGGGTTCATTATATTATTCTGTCTACTTTTGTATAGATGTGGAATTTCATTATAAGTATTTTTGTTTTACTTTTTAATTACATAAACTGTCATTTGTTTAAAACATTAGCTGACTACAATCAATCCAGTACTGGCGGTGATGAGGGAAAGTGGTAGGATGGTATAAATGAAATGAGGGTAGCCTTGAATTGATTGTTGTAGCTAGGTGTTCATTGCTGTCCAGTTTCATGTTGTTTGAAATTTCCCAGTAAAAAAAATCAGCACATTACAAAAAACAGATGAACTAGGATAAAGGGTGTTGAATGCTACCCCTGTGTAGTTTCTTGGCTAGAGCTTTGGCTTCTGACTCGTTAAAATTGAGCCAATGGAGAACCTCAGTTTCGTTTAGGAAGAGGCTGCTGCTTCAAGAAAAATGTAGAATGTTACTTTCAAGTCATACAAGAGTATAAGTTTCCTGAGGGTAGAGACTTTATCTGTCTTATTCATCTTACTTAGTATTTCTTATTACTAGTAGGTATTCAATAGGTATTTGTTTAGTTATCATTATAAAATGCCATTAAAATCCATAAGGATTTTTCAAATTCTAGATGATTTCTTTGGGTGTGGCCAAAATGTAGAAACTTTCAGTAGACATTTATTTCTTATGTGGAGAGTCCTAATACTTTTAAGAGTAATTTTTATGACTTGCTTAAGTACAAGTCCTTATGTCATAGATTTAGCACTAATATCTTTATTTCTTGGAAAGAACAATTCTTATTTAACAGTGAGATTTGTTTTAAAGTACCCACTAGATTGTAAGTTCCATAGGACCAGGGATATTGTCTATCCTGTTCACTGCTGTGTCCCCCATGCCTAGTATATATTAGGTGCTCAGAAGTATTTGTGGAATGACTGAACGTTTATGCAATTTATAGAACCCTTTCTAATGTGTTTTCTATTTCTCACCCACCTCTCAACTCTAGCCCTACAGCATGGAACCACAGGTTACTCTAAACGTGACTTTTAAAAATGAAACTCAGAGCTTTCTGGTTTCCGATCCAGAAAATACAACTTGGGCGGATGTAGAAGCTATGGTGAGTGTTACTTTTGTTTTGTTTCTCTATCACTGAAGCATAGATATTTTTTCCAAAGGTAGCTGTTTTTAGCAGTGTTGATTCATAGCTGTAACAGTTGTCATATTTACTATTTCTGAGTCTTTGGAAAATTGTTTTTGTCAGGGGTTCGGCATTCATTTAGGACATGTGCCCATAAAAGGGACAAACAAATAAGTTCCTTTTGAAGAGATAAGAAAGGGAAGGTAAAATTGTTTTTTATGTGAGATGATTTCAAAGACCTGTTAATTTTGGAAGCAGTCTGAGGAATGAATTGGTGTGAGCCCCGCCCCACCTAGGCCCTAGAGGAATGTTCTCTTGCCTGGGAGCAGATAGGTTACTATTATTTGTGAGCCACCAAAGATAGGACTTGAAGCACTTACTGATGAAGATCAAAGACCACAGCCTTCAGTATGGATTACATCTCAACATAAAACAAAAATCCTCACAACTGGACCAATAAGCAACATCATGATAAACGGAGAAAAGATTGAAGTTGTCAAGGATTTCATTTTACTTGGATCCACGATCAACACCTATGGAAGCAGCAGTCAGGAAATCAAAAGATGCATTGCATTGGGCAAATCTGCTACAAAAGACCTCTTTAAAGTGTTAAAAAGCAAAGATGTCACCTTGAAGACTAAGGTGCGCCTGACCCAAGCCGTGATGTTTTCAGTCACCTCATATGCATATGAAAGCTGGACGATGGGTAAGGAAGACTGAAGAAGAATTGACACTTTTGAATTATGGTGTTAGCAGAGAATATTGAATATACCATGGACTGCCAAAACAACAAACAAATCTGTCTTGGAAGAAGTATAGCCAGAATGCTCCTTAGAAGCAAGGATGGTGAGACTGTGTCCCTACTTTGGACATGTTATCAGGAGGGATCAGTTCCTGGAGAAGGACATCACACTTGATAAAGTAGAGTGTCAGTGAAAAAGAGGAAGGCCCTCAACAAGATGGATTGACACAGTGGCTGCAACAGTGGGCTCAAGCATAACAACGATTGTGGGGATGGCGCAGGACTGGGCAGTGTTTCATTCTGTTGTACATAGGGTTGCTATGATGCAAAACTGACTCGATAGCACCTAACAACAGCAGTATAACCTGTGTTTTACAAGGGCTGATAGATTACCTTTATTGCTAGGTCAGAGGTTGTCTTCAAAGTTGAGCAGCAAAAACTCCCCCTGGTAAGCCAGCACAAGTTGTACAAGGAAAGGTCATGGAAGCTCCACAGACACATCCAAACTCCCTGAGGGACTGAATTACTAGGTGGAGGGCTGTGGGGACCATGGTCTCGGGGAACATCTAGCTCAACTGGCATAACACAGTTTATAAAGAAAATGTTCTACATTCTACCTTGGGGAGTAGCGTCTGGGTCTTAAAAGCCTGTGAGCAGCCATCTACTCCACTGGTCTCATGCCTTCGGGAGCAAGGGAGAATGAAGAAAACAAGATACAAGGGAAAGATTAGTCCAAAGGACTAATGGACCACAACTACCACAGCCCCCACCAGACTGAGTCCAGAACAACTAGATGGTGCCTGGCTACCACCACTAACTGCTCTGACTAGGGTCACAACAGAGGGTCCCGGACAGAGCTGGACAAAAATGTAGAACAAAATTCTAACTCACAAAAAAAGACCATACTTACTGGCCTGACAGAGACTGGAGAAACCCTGAGACCATGGCCCCTGAATACCCTTTTAGCTCAGTAATGAAGTCACTCCCGAGGTTCACTGTTCAGCCAAAGATTAGACAGCCTCATAAAACAAAACGAGACTAGTGGGGCACAACATTCCAGGGACAAGGACTAAAAGGCAGGAGGGGACAGGAAAGCTGGTAATAGGGAACCCAAGGTTGAGAAGGGACAGTGTTGACATGTTGTGGGGTTGTTAATCATTGTCATAAAACAACGTGTGTACTAACTGTTTAGTGAGAATCTGTTTGTTCTGTAAACCTTCATCTAAAGTACAATTAAAAAAAAAAAAAAAACTCCCCTTGGTGCTTAGACAGCAGTTCCACTGCTCCTCTTTATTTTTGTTAATGCTTTTCCTGCTCTTGGTTTGCCCTTTGTACTCTTCTGTTTTTGTTCCGGTTGCAGTGGTGAATGTTATACTTCCTCCCTGACTATTTATCTAACAAAACTATTTGGTAAAAGCCTACTTTTACCTGGTTACGTGTGATGGTGACTAAAAAGGGAAGAAAATGATGGGGACCTTAAAAGAGGTCTAGTCGTCTGCCTTCCAGCAATTATCTTTACTGTCCTAGACAGATGGTTAACCAGAAAGAAGTTGGATCTTGTTTGTCAAATGATCTGAAAGTCAAACAGTTAGCTTTCTTTTGCTAGTACAGTAAAACCTGCGAAAGCTGGACCCTGTCTAAGGTGGAAACCTATCAGAGAAGGAAAACTCAAATATTTTCCACTAATAGCGCGCCATAGAAAAGTGGTAAGGCTGCACCCTGTCAAAGGTGGAAAACTTACAAGACCCGGAAAAACAGGGCAGTCCCGTTGAGTTCCAGCTCTCAGATGTTTCACTGTAGTTACATTAACTGACAGCTTCCTTTTTTTCTTTATCGAATTTTAAATTATAAAAGTGTAATACATGCCCATTATAAGAAGTAAAACAATCCAAACATATATCAAGGAAAAGTTCATATTCCTCTGCTCCCCCACCTTCCCACCTCTTTGGGATAACTAGTACTAACAGACAGCCTGATATATGCTTACTCACATTTTCCATATCACACAGACATCATACAGGATCAAGCTTATTTTGCAGCTTGCTTTCCTTACGCAACAATATAGACATAGTTCTATAGATAAGGATCAGAGCTCATTCTTTTGAAAGCCATAGAATATCCACAGTATTGTGGGTATTGTTGTACCATAATTTATTAATCATTTCATATTGAAAAATAATTGGATTGTTTCCAGGTTTTTTTTTGGTTTTCTTTTTGCCACTACGAAATAAACAGCAGGAGATATTCCTCTATACATAAAACCTTAAGTGAGATTAATGGGTCACAAGGTGTGTGATTTTTAAATTTTAATAGCTATTGCAGATTGCTTTGTAGAACGATTGTAGAAACTCAGAAATAAATGACAGTGCCCTCAATTCTTGACAGTACTGGATGTTATGGCTTTAAATAATTTTTGCCATTCTCATGAGATGACATCTCATTGCTTTAATTTGCATTGTTCTATCAGTGAGGTTGAACATCTTTTCATATACTTGTTAAGCATGCTGATCTCCTCTTCTGTGAATTTTCAGTACATTTTTACCTGCGTTATTAATCTTACCCTTAACAGTTTTGCAGATGCTCTTCATATGTTACAGATATTAACCCTGTGTCTGTTATGGGTTGCATATATTTTTCTCAGTCTTTTATTTGTCTTTTGACTTGGTTTATGGTATATCTTACTATACAGAAATACTTAATTTTTAAATAATAAAATATACCCATCTTTTCCTTCATGACTTCTGGGTTTCTGTCACAATTTGACTTTTTAATGTCTTGTTCATATAGTGTATTTTTCATTTGCAGGTAAAAGTTTCATTTGATCTGAACACTATTCAAATAAAATACCTGGATGAGGAAAATGAAGAGGTAAAGTATATTATGGTACCCATTGCCAGCCGTCCAGAATAGGGATCTTATTTCTCAAGAGTGATTGACGTGGGGCTCAAAAAGTTCAGAATCGTGTTTACCTCGTTTATTCAGTGATTTGAACGCATATGATAATTGCATGTTCTAAGCAGAGTTGTGGCATCTGAGATGGAGTTGAGAAATACGGAAACAATTTGAAAAGAAAATCTGAGCGATAACTTCAAAATTATGTAGTGTTCTTAAGTTCAGATATAGCCCAAGCTTCCCCTTGTTTTATAATAATGAAAATAATAATTTTTATTAAGTGGCTATAATGTATTGGACTAACAACGGTGTGGTGTATTAGGTACATTATTATCATCCCTGTCTTATCCATGAGGAAACTGAGGCACAGAGAGGTTAAGTAATTTGCCCAGAAGCACATAGCTTGGAAGTAGTGGAGTAAAGGATTAACCCATTTCCTCTGGCTCCAGAGCCCAGACTCCTAACCACTGTCTCTTAATATGGCTGAAATAAAGGGGGGCACAGTAGTTAAGCAATAAAATTCTTTAATTATTATTCATGACTGGCTTATGATACTAGAAAAGCTGAACCCTTGGGCTGAGATTTTGTGTCTCTTCTGTGAGGCTGGTCTTAGTAATGGAAATACTCAGTTGATGAGATGCTTATAATTCACTGTTGCTTTTTTCCTTTTACAGGTGTCCATTAACAGTCAAGGTAAGTCCCTCAGGGAACCTGTTCAGCTTTATGTAAAAGCCTTATCTGTTCATGGGCTTATGTATTTCCATTTACACTCAAACCTTGTAACAATACTTGTTTTAGGTTAGAATTTGTAGACAATAATTGACATTGCACTTGCTCATCCGTGGGCATTTGTTACACGGGATTTTTATTACGTAGCAGTGTTTTGTATCTAGGGTGATGACTTTGAATGGACCCTAAGGACAGCTTTAATGAGAGCTATATTTAAGATGCTGCTACTCTGAAAATCACATGCTTCCCAGTTTGATACCCATAACTTGTCCTCCTAGTGTTCTATCTGTCCCTGACTTTTATATATATTAGTGTCGACTTATAAACACGTATTAACGCTAGCATGAAGTCCCTTGAGTTCTGAGCTTCAGTAAGCCTAGTGTGAGGGAGCTGGGTTGAGGTCTCATAACTGGAGGGTGCCAGTAGCAAAGAAAGGAATTTAAAGCAGAGAACTGTTGTTGCTTCTATTTGTGGTAGGATGAGACGAGAGTTTGTTGTCAAAAAGATAGTAGCTGTTCATATATTAAGGATTGTAAGCAAAGAATTCTTAAAAGTCAGTATTGCCTATACCTCCTAGAATCTTTTTAGGCTGGTGAAAAAATATCACAATGTTTTTTGTCTTTTTTAGGAGAATATGAAGAAGCTCTTAAGGTAATGGTTGTTTTGTCTCATTGTCCAAATAATTTTTTTTTAATATTTATTGACTAAAACTCAAACCTGAATTCCATTATCCAGGAAGAGGAATTAATGAATCTAAACATAGTGAAACCTATTTTTAGGGAGATTCTGATTAGTAGGTCATACCATCCAGCAAAAGGAAGCTCCTCATGTAAAGGTTCTCCCCAGTTTCCTTCCATCTCATTGCTGGTTTTGGTGCCACCATCCAGATATTTAAAAATACAGTGACCTGTCTGAAATTAGGCTTTCTGGTTCATCTTTGTCATTTCCTTCCTTCACAATATTCCCTATGGAACATTGCAGTGAAATGTGAGAGAATTTAAGGTATAAACGATAGAGTTGCATACAATCTCTTGTTTAAGTCATTGATGGCATTAGTTAGAGCATTTGTCAACTTTCTGGTATACCAGTCTATCCTTTCATTATCACTTTTGTAATTAAGGTTTTTCTTTAAGATTTGACTGTCTTTTATGAGCTTCCAGTCCAAGACTGAGCTATTTTTCATAATCACTTTTATTCTAGGGAGGGAAAGGCAAGATTTTTTTCTAACTGGGGCTGGGTCTACCCTTTTTGGCTGCTGACCAAAACTGATATCCTAGGTGCCGCTTGTTTCAGCAGTGTAACCAATGTCTTCCCAGTTTCTTTTCATAGGCATCCTTATGTACCAGTTTCACTCTTTGTTTTGGATATTCAGATCTTTCCTTGGTTTTCCTCAGTTGAGATTCCTATTTCTGTACATAATTTCTCATTTCTGTTTCCTTCTGCTTCAGTTATCTTATGGTTTTCCTGTTTCTTCGTTGCTTTTAAGCTATTCTAGCATGCTGGTCCTCTACCCCCTTTACTCTTGTCCTACTCTTCCTGACTTTTCTCTTTCCCTATTCTCAGAAGCTATAGTAATTTCACTAAAAAGTCTCCTGAGGGCTTCATAACTTTTCTGCCTTTCCCACAGCCCCTCTTAGCTCACCTGACCATCAGGATGCTCAGACCTCAGGATCCTAATGTTTATGTAAGCCTGTCTTACCCTGGAAAGCAAGAATATTTTTACATTTTCATATATAATACTATATAGTACTAAGATCTGCTTGTATTTTGACACATTTCATTGCAGTCTTTTCTTGAGCAATTTTTCCCAAAGACCGTCCCAAATAGTTTACTAAAAGCTTCTTGGTGGTGTAGGGTCTAGAACAGGGTTTGACAAACTACAGCCTGTGTGCTCACTGTCTGTTTTGTAATAAAATTTTATTAGAATGTAGCCATGCCCATTCATTTATGTATCGTTTATGACTGTTTATATGCCACAACAGTATAGTTGGATAGTTGTTCCAGGCCTCCAAGCCTGAAATATTTACTGTGTGGCCTTTTAAGAAAACATTTGCTGACTCCTGGTCTAGAATAATAGCTTTCAAACTTTTTTCCCATGTGATGCTATCTCTAAATGGAATCTTAAATCTAATGTGTGAAAATAAATAAAAGAAGAGCTGTTCTGGTTGATACTGGGGGTGCTAGAACCCTTTTTTATGGCCCCTAAAATCTTGGACACTGGGTTACCTTCATGGAACGTCAAGTGCTCCTTGAAGTACCATTTTCAAATCAGGGCTTATAGGAAGATGCTTTTCAAAAGGAGATGACCAGTTGAGCATGTTTTCCAAAATACTATTAGTGAAAAAGTAAACACTTAGTTACAGGACATAGTTTTGAGTTTTTTGAGTTCTGTTAGCATGGGATTGACTTTTTTAGAAAATAAAGATTGGAGTCACTAGGTGGGGTCTTATGTAAAACCAGTTACACAGAAGTAGTAACCCACGTATTTCAGATGAAACATCTGATCTAATAAATTATTATACTATGAACCTACATTTATGTTGGTTTTTTAGTAACAGAACCATTCCTAATTAAAATTCTTTGCAAAGCAACAGGTTGAGTATCAACATTGTATGTGTTGTTTGATTAATAAAACAAACAAATCCCATGTAATTGATTGCACTCTTCTATTTAGGTATTTTTGAAATTCCATTTGGCAAAGGAAACTGACACAGTATGATTTTGTTTCATAATATATGCTCTCAGATGGCAGTTAAGCAGGGAAACCAACTGCAGATGCAAGTCCATGAAGGATACTACGTTGTGGATGAAGCCCCAACCCCAGTTGTATCAGAAAAACGACTAGCTGCCAGGGCAGGGAAGAAGCCACTTGCACACTATTCTTCATTGGTGAGAATCTTGGGATCAGACATGAGACCACCAGAGGAGCCTGCAGCACAGGTATGAAGGGAATGGACCTGTCTCTACAATTTTGCTCTGTTTCCTTGTCTTTGGTCTGCAATTTGAGATAGTCATGAAAAATTTGGGGGATATTGTGATCTTTTTTCATCTCTGATTGAAACTAGCAACAGTGGTTACTTCTGGAGAGAGGGAGTGAGTGGGATAGAAACTTTGTTTTATATACTCCTCTATGCTATTTGATAGTTTTTTCGTTTTTGTTTTATTTTGTTCTTTAACCATACGCTTGTATTACTTTACAAAAGAAACTTCAAAGTAATACATTTCAGGAAAATTATTTTAGGTAGAAAGAAAAAGTAACCACCAAGATCTTGGATTGTGTTTTCTTGCAGCAATTTCCACTTGCTCCATGTGATGCAGACCAGCCTCAAGACAAGCCCCCAGACTGGTTCACAAGCTACTTGGAGACAGTGAGTATTCTCGCTGGCTTGGGTTTTAGCAGCAGTGTTGACACAGGTAGAATGTGGAAGAATAGAAAGCCAAACCCAGAGGGCTGGCTGCTGCCTCTGGTGCAGGTGAATGAAGAGTGGTAGCTAATAGTTTTTCAACTAGAGCAGTTCAAGTCAAGAAAGCTCTTAACTTTTACAGTGAGGTACCCAGAAAAAGAAGGAATCTGATTCTTGTAAGGGAGAGAGACAAATCTCTATGCTTAAGAAGGAGGAAGTTAGAAATTTACTCATCGAAAAGATTTCCTAGTATTTTCTTTGAACCAGTTTAGTGGTGGAAGGAATAGACCTTTTGTCCATTCAGTCAGTAGCTATTAGCTATTTATTATGTTTTTACATTATACTAGAGACTGTGAGGTTTCAAGTCTGTTTGATATCTCCATATCTTTTTCCAATATTGGGTCTGAATTTTCTCCCACCTTCTGCTCTATATCTAGTTCAGAGAGCAAGTGGTTAAAGAAACAGTTGAAAAGCTTGAACAGAAATTACATGAGAAGCTTGTACTTCAAAGCCCAACGTTGGGTTCCTGTCCCTCAGAAGTCTCAATGCCTATTTCAGATGAAACACTGTTTTTGCCAGAAAATCAGTTCAACTGGCATATTGTTTGCAGCAGCTGCCAAAAAAGAATCATTGGTGTGCGCTACCAGTGCAGGTAAGCTGTAACTTGGGGATAGTTGTCTATTGGTAGTCCTCAGAGCAGCGACCTTGCTGGCATTCTGGATAGGTACAGGAAATTGGGTGTATTCTGTCTCTGAGCATTAGATGTAGTAGCTCTGGATTGGAAATATGCACTGCTCTTCACTCACATGCTTTTTAGGTTGAGAGTTAAGTATTCAGATTGTTGTCGTCTCCCTTTTGTTCCATATGCTTTCATATATTGCCTTATCTTATAGATTCCATTTGCAATAGGTTTAGGTTAAGTGTTATTATCCCCATTTTATTAATGAGGAAAACTGAGACATGGCATGATCAGATGACAGGCTCCAGCTACCAGCTAGCTGGCAATACAGCAAATAAGAGGTCTGGTCTCATATCTTCCTACCTCAGGTACTTCCCACTGTGCCATTCTTTTCCTCACAGCCTATGCCCATCCTACAATATCTGTGAAGATTGTGAGGCAGGGCCATACGCCCATGACTCTAACCACGTCCTACTAAAGTTGCGGAGACCTGTTGTGGGATCCTCTGAACCATTCTTGCACTCAAAGCTCTCTACTCCTCGTCTTCCCGCTGCTCTGGAACAAGTCAGGTAAAACGATTTACATGGGGATGCTTGTTCTGAGGTTTTTGGTTTTGTTTTTCCTCTTTAAAAAATTTTATTGTGGTAAGCATATAACAAAAATTTGCCATTTTAACCATTCTTTCCCGCCTTTTTCTTTTATTATAAAAATGTACTTAGCAAAACATATAGTTCTCTGGTTTCTTGGTTCTGGTGACAGGGTGTGAGTCACAAAACTACAGATAGTCTCCTTAGTTCCTGCTCGTTTTCAATTGATGTGCAATAATGAATTACCCAAAGCTAATGAAATGGAAATGATAGCTAGAGAATGAAATTAAGAAACTAAACTAGAAGCTGATACTGATGGAGGCTGAATTTGGCCCAAAATACCTTCAAGGCTTGTTTGTGAGGTTTGTTTTTTTTTTAAGACTTTAATTTATTATTTCACAGGCTGCAGAAACAGGTTGACAAGAACTTTCTTAAAGCAGAAAAGCAGAGGTTACGAGCTGAGAAGAAACAGCGTAAAGCAGAGGTCAAGGAACTTAAAAAGCAGCTTAAACTGCACAGGAAGATTCATCTGTGGAATTCTATCCATGGACTTCAGAGCCCCAAGTCTCCTTTGGGCCGACCCGAGAGCTTGCTGCAGTCTAACACCCTGATGTAAGCCTGGGGCCTTGCTGGGAGCCAAGACTTTAGGTTCAGCTCTTTAGAACTGGAACATCAGTCAACTTCTGTCTTTTTTATCCACAACACTTAGCCCCCAAACCCTTGAAACTTCCTATTTTTTGACCCTAGTTTTATTAAAGAGTAGTTTGGTAGTTGTTTTTTTAATAGACTTTTTTTAATAGGCTTTCTTTTTTAGAGTAGTTTTATATCTATAGAAAATGGTACTGAAAGTAGAGTTCCTATATACCCCTTCCCCCTGCACATTGTTTCTCCTCTTGACATCTTGCATTCCTGTGGTACATTTGTTAAAATTGATGAACCAGTATTGGGAGATTGTTATTAATGTCCATAGTGTACATTAGGGCTCACTCTTTGTTTTGTGCAGTCCGAAAGGTTTTGACAGATGCTTAATGTCATGTGTCTGCTGTTATGGTATTGTACAGAATAATTTCACTGCCCTAAATATCCCCTGTGCTCCACCGATTGATCTCTTCCTCTGAACCCCTGGCAACCACTTATCTTTTCATTGTCTAGCTTTGCCTTTCTCAGAATGTTATATCGCTGGAATCATTCAGTATGTATAGGTTTTTTTGGTCTGCCTTCTTAGCAGTTTGCATTTTAAGGCTTCTCCATGTTTTTTTTGTGCCTTGGTAGTTTATTTTTTTTCATTGCTGAATTACACACTTTTGTATGGCTATACCACAGTCTGTTTATCCATTCACCTACTGAAGGACATCTTGGTTGCTTCCAATTTTTGACAAATATGAATAAAGCTCCTATAAACATTTGTGCGCAGGTTTTTATATAGATGTAAGTTTTCATGTCACTTGAGTAAATACCTAGGAGTACAGTTGCTGGGTGGGAGTTATATTTGACAGTTGTTTCACTGCCCTCTTCAGAAAGATAAAAACCAGTAGGATTCAGAACTGGGTTTGTTACGACCTCTCTTCACTGGAGGCAATCTATATTTGAAGCAAATTAGCAGATGTTTTAAGAACTTGACTCTATAGTTCTATTTATGGATCCTTTTAATTATCTTCACCATGGCTTTTTAGCTTAGGAGTCAAACCTATCCTTTTTTTAAATTTTTATCAGTATTATTTTTAAGGCAAATGCAGTAGGACATCCTCAAGAGTCACAGTCAACCGCTCAGGCCACAGTGGTGGATATTCCAGGCCATCACATCCAATAGCAAATGACTAAGTGTGTGAATTTCTGTTCAGGCTCCCTTTGCAGCCTTGTGCCCCAGTTATGCCAACCCTCAGTGCAGCATTTGTGGATGAGAATTTGCCTGATGGGACGCACCTTCAGCCAGGCACCAAGTTTATCAAACATTGGAGGATGAAAAATACAGGAAACGTAAAATGGAGTGCAGACACAAAGGTATTCTTTCCCACAAAATGTGAAGATGATAGTGATTTGAAGCGTCAGAGTACTCAGCTGACAAACTCTCTTGTCACTGTCCTTTTCAGCTCAGGTTCATGTGGGGAAACCTGACTTTGGCTTCTACAGAAAAGAAAGATGTCTTCGTTCCTTGCCTGAAAGCCGGCCATGTGGGAGTTGTCTCTGTGGAGTTCGTCGCCCCAACCTTGGAGGGAACGTACACTTCTCATTGGCGTCTTTCTCATAAAGGCCAGCAGTTTGGACCTCGGGTCTGGTGCAGTATCATAGTGGATCCTTTCCCCTCCACAGACAGCCCTGGTAACAATGAAAAGGGCATAATCAGCTCAAGCAAAGCTGATGACCTCACCTGCCAGCAAGAGGTGAGCATTGACGGGCTTTGGTTAGTATCCCAGTATACTCAGAGTTAGGGAAGGGGTGATTGAAATGAAAAGAGCCTACTCATAGCTGGTCATTCTTTAAAAACTCATGAAAGGCTAGCTACTCTCCCCTACCCCAACACATTTATATGCTGAAGTGTGGCCTAGTCCTCAAGCGCTTTGAGTGTCTGTAAGATCTTGGGTCAGGCAGTCCCTGAGTGCTTTTCTATCTCTTTGTAGTGATCCTTGGCCAGTCTCTTTGTTGCCCAATGGAAAGAAGGGCGGCCTGGCCTGGCCCAGCCTATGGAACTGGTGGACTGATAGCTTTGCTCCTTAACGTTGTTCTCCCCTGAAATAACCCTTGTGTGTGTTCCCTAAATACTAATGAAGCCTTGCCCTGGTTGTTACTTGGTAGGCAGTTTTTTAAGGCAACTTCCCTCTGTTCATGGGGTACTTTTAGAATGATTACTGCTTAAATTTAGGAGTCATCACTAAAAAAAAGAAAATGGTAGGCAATGAGTACCGTAGGACTGCATGCATACTTCCTTCGCTTCTTTCAAAAGTAATGTATATTCTTGGTAGAAAATTGACAAAATATGGATGAAGGGGGAGAAAAAGGACCAATGTTAATTTACCAGTTTTGACTGTTGTACTGTGGTTAATGTAAGTTAGGTGTAGGGTAATATATGAACTCTGTACTATTTTTGCAAGTTTTCTATAAGTCTAAAATGACATCAAAGCAAAAAGTTAAAAAATGTAGAGATGCAGCAGTGTTTTTGTTTTTAGGGAGGCCCATTAGCTAATTGAGGGCCTAAAATCTGTTCTCATGGCTTGTCTCTATAGGAAGCTTTTCTTCTGGCCAAAGAAGATACTCAGCTTGATGAAGTGACTCAGCAGACAGAAAGGACAGGGACCTGCATTCCTCAGAAGATAAAAAAGATTACCAGCGAGAGGGAGCTTTACATCCCATCTGTGGATCTTCTAACTGCCCAGGTGAAAGATTCAACACTTTGAGGGACAAGGGACAGAGAACATTGGGGAAAGTGTTTTACCACATTGATGAGGAGGTGGTAGGTAGCCTTAGGTGGTGCCCCAGATGGTAAAGATTCTGCTCACTTTAATCCAGTTAGATGCATTAGTGGCAGGGGAGCTCACTCATGGAAACAACAGTTTCTAAACTTAATGTTTCCTCCTTCCTGTGCTTCCCCACAACTTTCCTTTAGTTGCCTCTGCATTTCACCTCTGTCTGGTTTACCCTTACACCGACTCCATTTCTTCTCTTCGCTGCCCTTTGGTCCTTTGAACATCTAGTTCCCATTTAACTCTCCTTCTCACTTGGCTAAGGTGAGACATGAATTTGAACAGAGTTGGATCCAGATGCTATAGAGCTCAGTGGCCTGCAAGTCCCATTGAGAGAGAACATGGTCCCAGTGTGCCTTGCAAGTAGCCTGACATTGCCTGTCTTTTTATCCAGGACCTGTTGTCCTTTGAACTGTTGGATATAAACATTGTCCAAGAGTTGGAGAGAGTGCCCCACAACACTCCTGTGGGTAAGAATGTTACTAGATTCACCGTGTATTTTGTTATTAGACCTAAAAGTTCTGCAGCATGGACTTTGGTAGTTAGTGTTTTATTCTCCCACAATGTGATAGGAAAGCTGCATCCATAGGTCCAGTTTCCTTCTTTCCCCATTGTCTGTCAGAGGCAACGATGGAAGTTTGTGCAAGGCTTTCCCACTATAAGGGACCCCTCTTCTCCATTTTTCTCTAGAGGTTTTCCGTCCCTTTGTTCCTTCACATTCATGGTTCTATGTCTTGGCTGTGACTTTCCAGGCCAGATGACTATTTATGATCCTTCCTACATTAATTTATATGAAACTTGCACACCTCATGGTCTGGAGAAATTCTTTACAACAGACCTTGAAGCATACCTGGGTTTACTTTAGCCCTGCAGGGGGAAAGAAGTCTGTAAGCTGCTTCTTCTGGACACTGACTGTGATGATGTGATGCTGTTTCTTGGTTGATGGTTCTCCTGTCTTCATTCTCCAGATATGACTCCCTGCATGTCTCCTCTGCCACATGACAGTCCTTTAATAGAGAAGCCAGGCTTGGGGCAGATACAGGAAGAAAGTGAAGGGGCGGGATTTAAAGCACTTCCTGGTAAGGGATTAAATATTTGTAAAGCATTTACATCTTCCTTTTCCATACCATACCCTATTTTTACACCTATCCTCTACTAACTTGTCCTTGGTGTGTGAATGGGTTTTCTGTAGCTTCTCATTTTTTTAAGTCACCTTACCTTCAGATGGCACAAATAGCAGCCATTCCTTGGCATAGTATGAGCATGGGTGGTGACTGACCATGGCAAAAGCACCTTGACATTTTTAAACACCAAGTGCAAACGAGGCTCTCATCTCTTTCAGGTTCCACAGTGTCAGTAAAGAGTAAGGCTGAGAGCACTGCTCCAGTGGAGGAAGCAGAAGATGACCTGAGTGGGACCCAGTTTGTGTGTGAGACCGTGATCAGATCCCTTACCTTGGATGCTGCCCCTGATCACCACCCACCTTGCCGACAGAAGTCCCTGCAGAGTGAGTGTCCCTGCATTTCCCCCACCTAGTAGGGTGGCACCCAAACTGTGATTGTCAAACATGATTAGTTAGAAGCGCTCTTCCCTGAGAGTGAAGGTAGGGTGATCTTTTTTAGAAAGTCCAGTCATGCTTGTTTCCTCATACTCTCCATAAGCTGCCTGACCATTTTAATGATAGCTTTAGGAACAAAGAAGCCACCATATGTCCTTTCTGCACTTTCTCAGGGGCAGAGTTAACACCTGCATTCCACAGAGGAAAAGCGGCCCATGCTGCCTAGACTCTGCAGTGAGGAGTCTTCCTGTAAACTGGCAGAACGCCTCCCAGAGGCCCCTGTTGGCAGCTCAGTTGTCTGCTTTCTTCTAGGGCAATAGTCCAGGAAATTGGAGGGGGTAGAGGCAGGAGTACCAAACTGAGTTTCTCAAGGTTAAATTATGCTGTAACAAACACCTTTGTATCAGAAACTTCTAGATATCAGGTAGGTAGAACCAATACCATGTTTTTCAAGAACTACCTAAAAATTCAAATTCTAGTGCATCGAAATAATACGGAAAATCTCTGAGTTTCTTATAATGAAATTTGACCTGTGCCTTTAAATAGGATTTGGCTCACTTTTGTTTAAAATATACATGTGTACAAATGCGTAACAAGAAGTCCGAAAGGGTTTAGACCAAAATGTTCACAGTAGTTATTTTTGATGGGACTGTGGGTCCTTTTTGTCTCTCATCCAGATTTTGCCTATTTTCTACCATGGACATGCGTTACTTTTGTAAAGAAGAGGGGGAAGTATGCATGTGGCCCTGTGGTACTCATCAACTAGCATTTGCTTTTCTCCTATGGCACTGTTAGCTAGTTTATCGGTTTGTTTTGAACCGTCTCTAACTATCACATGAAGAGGAAAAAAGATGAGACCTCCTCATTTTAAGATTCATAGTACTTCTCTGAAGTCTGGATGTTTCTGCCTACTTTGTTTTTGTGGGCTTTGGGTTTCTCCGGTTTGCATGGCTTCAAACTTAGAATACAGTCATGGTTCCAGCAGCAGCCCTTCCCTCTGGTTCTTCCCTTTTCTTTTGTATTCATAATTCTAGCCCATGACCCACAAGGCTTTACCAAGTTAAGGGTAGCACTAGAGGCTGCTTTTAGCTTGTACCTTAAAATTGGTTGCTTTCCTCCTGTAGTGAATTCTGCCTCGTCTGAAGGAGAGGGACACCTTGGTGATGAGAGAGAGGAGACTGTCTGTATCACTGAGGAAGAAGTTGTGGAGGAGGAAGAGGATGAGCTCCAAGACGAAGTTCAGAGTCAGTCCTCTGCTTCCTCAGAGGATTACATCATCATCCTGCCTGAGTGCTTTGATACCAGCCGCCCTTTGGGGGACTCCATGTACAGCTCTGCCCTCTCTCAGCCAGGCCTGGAGCGAGGGGCTGAAGGCGAGCCTGGGGTTGACGCTGGACAGGAACCAGCCGAGGCTGGGGAGAGGCTCCCTGGAGGGGAGGACCAGCCGCAGAGGCATAGCATCAATGACATCCTCATGACCTCACAGACTCTGGAAGCAGTGCCCCTAACCCCAGAGGTGGTGGGGCCTCCACCTCCGCTGCCCAGGTACCATCCCCACCCCTCTTGGCTGGGGTGTTCTGCAGAGGTGGAATAAAGAGTGAGAGGAATCAGCTTGATCTCAAAACCTGTTTCTTCTTCAGCATGGGAAGAGACTGTTTCCTTTAGTAAAGTCTGAATTTAGATGAATAAAAGCTGTATTTCCCAGCATTTGCAGATTCTGGATTTAAAGAAATACTAGTTGTAGTCAACCTTAATTATCTGAGGATAATCTACTTATGTTTTGATTGTTTAGAGCCAGTTTTTAAACAAAAATTCCTGTACCTCCCTTCCTTGTTCTATTGATTTTATGAGCAAAGGCAGCAAAAACGCATTCTTGTATTAGTCCCCAAAATTCCTAAGCATACTTAGGAATTTAAAGCCATTATGGGGAAAAAAGTACTATGAAATCAAACAAATTATTTTTAATTCTCTACTGGATCTATCTGCATCATTGCTCTTACAATGTGGAAAGAGCTGGAGCCTTGACTAATTTAAACCATTCTCTCAGTGAACTAGACATTTAGCTTTGTCAGCACGACTTAGTATAGAATAAATGGCCAGACTGAAGCCAATCTTTCTAGCTTGACTGTGGCCAAAGAGAAAAAGGAGTAGAATGCAGCCCTTCTGACTTGATGCCTAAATTGAGACGTGTGATCTGGATCAGAAATGTGAGGTGTGTGTAGAGAATTTGGCACTGCTTGCTGTGTTTACTGTTTCTCCACCGTTACCACTGCTACCATTTCAGTGTTCAATATTGTGTCTTTCTGAAAGGAGCCCTCCTGGTGTACAGCATGATGGATCCCCAGGAGTGGATTTACCAGTTACCATCCCAGAAGTTTCTTCAGTCCCTGATCAGGACAGAGCAGGTAATGACCAGCCTGAGCTTTATCTCTTTCTGTCTGCTCCTTTCTAATGGAAACCAGGTATTACATAGACACTCTGTCTTTGTGATTCTTGGCAATTTTTAGGAACTTGCCTTTTCACTCTATTTTCCGCCCTCGTACTCCAGTTTGTATTCTCTAGCTTAATATTTATTAAATGAGACATCGTAGAGGTAGGCATTGCACTGTAGTTGGAAGAACGCAGGCCTTGGAGCCAGACAAGTCTAGGTTCCAGCCCCAGCTCCAACTTATCCTCACTGTGTGACTTTGTAGCAGTTCAGCAGGTATATGTATAACACTTGTAGGCCTGTTTTTTCATCTGCAAAATAAAGAAAATAGCACTGTGAAGTTGTGAGAAGACCTTCAAAGTCACTTCTCACTCTTTCCCCAAAAAAATAAAACCTAAAAGTCCTTATGAACTAATTAGTATGCTATGATTATAGAATTTATTTTTCTGATTCAGTAAGCTGTTGCCTTGCATTACATTCTGAACAGTTTCTCATCACTTACTTAGACAACCACCTACAAAATTTGCCAGATACTTAAAAAAAGAAATAGGACTTCAAACGCTGTGATCAGATTGCCACCTGCCTCGAAAATAGTTTTGCTGTGAATTAGAGAACACTTGGCGCTTATGAATGCTACATCTAACCAACAGCTCTTTTGCTTTTAGAGCCCAGAGGTTCATCAGGACTTGTAAACAGCAGACAGAAGAGCTATGACCACTCAAGGTAATTGAAACTTGTGCAGTCTCTTCTTCAGAAGCAGGTGGATATGCTCTATTGCTTCTGCTTAAAAGAGTCCATGAAAGCAGGGAAGGAGAGCTGTCATTCGTTCTTGTTCTCATTCCTCCTAAAACTTCAGAGCAACACTGACTAAAGGGCCAAAGCTGATGCTTAAGAGTATTCCCATTCCAGACCAGAAAGGAGTGCCCTGAGAGTCTTGTATCTTCCTCACTGTTGGTGCCAGAGAAGGCAGGAAGGTCAAGCCCAGTGTGCATCATAGTAACTTTTTCCTAGACACACCTGCTTCTCTGCTCCCAATCACCTCAGAGCAGTGTCAAGATGGGATCTTCCTTACAGAATCCAGAAAATCACAATTCTTCTGGGAGGTGTTTCCTCTGAGATGATAACTGAGCAGAGACGTACTGCTGGTACCCCAGTGTGCCCTTGACCATGTTATTTTTCAGCTAGGACTGAAAGCTGGCATATTATCAGAGTGGTGTGTTTTCTGCAATGCCCAGATCTTGCAGCAGTAGAACTGGCCGTGTATAAAACCAAGATTTGTAGCTATAAAACTGATAAAACAGCCAATCACATTCTCTTTTTACATTTGATTTTTTTTTCTGTTAAGGAAATATTTTTCTTTCAAGAATTCAGTTAGAGCCAAGATTACCTTGTAGAAAGATCATGGTTGGTTTGTTTAGGGAGATAATTTGGTTTTCCTCCACAGGCACCACCATGGGAGCAGCATTCCTGGAGGACTGGTGAAGGGGGCTTTGTCTCTTGCTGCCTCTGCATACAAGGTCCTGTTTGCTGGGGCACCAGTCACTGCACAGGTCAGTGTGTGTTTTCTTTTCCTGAACCGAACGGGATTACAAATGAAAACAATGGCTTCGGGGTTGGAGAGTAGCATAGCATTGTGGAAAGAGCATGGGCTTTATATTTAGTCTTTGGTTAGTGCACAGCTCCACCACTTATATGACTGGCCAAGTTACTTAAGGGAGGAAAAGAAAAGGACCTAATGTTGGCTGAGGACCTAGTATGTGTGAGGAGCTACTCCAAGCTCTGTGGCTGTAAGATGAATAAGACACCAGTTCCTGCCCAAAGCCTGGGAAGCAGCCGGTAAAGAGACACTTACAGTACAGGGTAAGATCCTGTGCTGGTGCTGTCAGACAAATGGAACACCTCACCTAGGCTGGTGGAGCCAAGGAAAGCTTCGTGGTAGACGGTGCCTGAATGAAGTCTGAAGGACAAAGTAAGTGTTGGCCAGGAAAAAGGCAGAGAAAGGCATTGTAGACAGAGTAACCAGGAAAAAAGTCTTAGAAGTGTAAGAGAGCAAGTTGAATTTGGGGAACACAGGACCATTTGGTTTGAGAAGAGGAATAAGAAAAGACCAAATATATAGGCAGGAGGTAGATCATCATGCTCCTTCTAAGGAGTTTGAATTTTATTTTAAGAATAGTAGGAGGAGCCATTCAAGAGTTTTAAGGAAGTGATTAACAAGATCAGATCTGGTCTTAGAGCACTCTACTACAGTGAGGATGTTAGCATGAAGCAGAGAAAGAAATCAGTTTGAGAATCCATGTGTAGGTATTAAGGAAGGATGAAGGAGATAATTAAGAGGCAGAAATGACAGAACTTGGAGACCATGATTAAGTGGCTAGAAAAGTCAAGGATAAATCCCAAGTTTCTGGCTTAGGTGATTAATAAAAGAAGATATGCAGGAAGAAGGCTATATTTGGATGAGAGAAGAAAAAATTAGGTCAGTTTTGGATGATGTTGAGTTTGAGCTGTGCATGGCATATCTAGGTAAAGAAACCCAGAATGCAGTTGGATATATAAATCTGGAGCACAGGGGAGAGATCTGGCCTGGAGATGGAAGTTTGAGAGTTGCTTGCATACAGGTTATAGCAGGAGCCATATGATTGGATGAGATCATCCAGGAAGAGTAGGGAAGGCAAGCAGCCTTTAAGGAACAGGAAAGGAAGGAGGAACCTGCAAAGAAGACAAGTAACTAAGGGGAAAATGAGGAGAGTTCTGTTCTGGACCTTAGGGAAAAGAGTTTTAATAAGGGGGGAATGGTCAGCAGTGTCAAATGCTACAGAGATGTGTGACCGGGTGGTGAGGAATTTAAAAGTGCTAGTATGCCCCACTTTTCAGATAGCTGGGCTACAAAGGGAAAAAGAGAGGGGAAGCTAGGGTACATAAGGCAGAGGGAGACATTTTTAAAGATGAGTGAGACTTTAAAACTAGTAGCAAAAGAGGTTAAAGATAAAAATGAGTGAGAATAATTAATGGAAAAAGATTTCTGAAATGGTATGAGGTAATGTGATACAAAGCAAAGTTATTATGGAAGGATTAACCTGGAAAGGAAGATGGATAATCTATTCTGAAAGAAGAGGGAAGAAGGGAACAGTAGAATTAGGTATAGAGGGAAATGCCAGAGACGACTCAACATGCTTACAGACTTTCTCATAGGAATTCTCTTAACAACTCTGCAAAATAGGAGGTATTTTGTATTTCCATTTTTGTAAATAAGGGTTTATCATCACTGGGTTTCCAGGGCTTAATTTCATCTGGCCAAAGAATGCTTCTTTCTGAAAGTCTCTTCTGAAATATTCTCTTCCTAGTTCATAAGTCCACGGGTTTCCTTTCCCCTTTCAATACAAACATACCTCATCTGTAGCAGGGCCTTCCTAATCCTCCTTAACCTCTCAGAAGATCCCATTGGTACGAGGTAGGCAAGTGCACCATACCCTTGTATCTCATTACCTAGTATTTTGAATAAATCTAGGAAGATGAGTATGCTTTACAAGATAAACTAGCCGTTTAAAAATCTACAAGGATAACCACTTAAATTATATAGAAAATGTTGTTCTGCGTTTCTTATCTGTACACAGCCAGTAGTTTCTGAAGACCAGACAGCAGCCTTGATGGCCCATCTCTTTGAAATGGGATTCTGTGACAGGCAGTTGAACCTAAAACTGCTGAAGAAGCACAACTACAACATCCTGCAGGTTGTGACAGAACTTCTTCAGGTTAACAACAATGACTGGTACAGCCACCGCTATTGAAGAGTTTCCTTGTATTAAATGCCTGCCTGCTGCTCAGAGATGATCTTTACTCTGTTATTGGGGTGTGGGGTAGAAGCCCTTGTTTGTTTTTTAATCTGATGAATATTTATATAGCCCATCATTGAATTATCAAGACAATACCTGCAATACAGTATTTTTTGGAGCCAATCAAAGACTACAGCTTAAATTTTCACTTTAGACACTGGATAAATTGTAGGAAGACGGTTTTTCAATTGATTTAGATAAAACTCCTTTCTCCATTTTAGTGTATTGAAGAGTTTAATTTGAACTGCCTGTAGGAACCAGTTTTCTTTCTGCTTGTATAGAACCTGAGTGTTTTTGTTTAGTTAATGTGGATGTTTTTATGGGGTATCTGTTAATTGTCGATTTTTAAATGAAATGAACATTGGAAGAAAGGCTATCAGTTGTTTTCAAGAATTATTCTTAAGGTTTCTCTAACCCTACCCCAAGCCTCATAGCTATGTGGATTGAAATGACACCCAGAGCATGACAGAAACATTGCTCCTCTTCCTTTCTTAAGGAGGTCATTTCCCCACAAGACTTAGTAATTTGTATCTTTGCTTTCTAAAGACAATTTGATGCATTTAAGAGTATCCACCTTCTAGGTCTCTACATTTCAATGAAAGGAGGGAGGAGTGTGCTGAATAATTAACTCACCAGCACCTCTTGATTTATGTCTATTGTAGTAATTTTGCATACATTTTTCTTTCCTTTAAGGGAGAAAATTGTTAAGTAGGTAGTGTGAAATATTTTGCTAATCCTATATGGGGAGAAAAGAATGCTTCTATTAAAGGGAAGAGTACATTTAACAATTACTTTTTTTTTTAAATGTCAGGGCAGATCTTATTTTACAGCAGAGTCGGGGGAAATAGAAACATGAATGAACGGCAGGCGGCTCCTATGTTAATCTCAGTAAAGTTCATGGGTGGGCAAGTGAGTGTGTGTGAGGTATAGGATATCCTGATGACCTCTGGAATGTCTGAAGTCGGTTTAAAGGTATTTGCCCTAGAGAGCCTAGAACAGGAAGAGGCTGGTATTTTGCAAAACATGGGCAGGGGGCAAACTCACAGAAAAAGTTTTGGTTTAATCCTAGGATGAGTGGGAAAGAGCTTGCTGCTTAGAGCCCAAGTCCAAGAAGGGAGTCTTGGGTGCAGTTGATGAAGGAAGAGAAAGGGTAACAAAAAACGCTGAAGATTGATTCATGAAAATGTTCAAGAAAAAGAAGAATCGGACCCCCGGCCTGAAGGGGGAAGAATAGTTAAAAATAGTATTATTTAACCTGGTTGGTATTTATAATGGTGATTTTAATTAATCATTAGCCATGTTTATTTACACTATAACTGTTGAATGCTATTAAATAAAAGCAGGATTCAGACCGCAAGCCAACCAGGCTGTTCATTATTTAAAAGGTTTTCATGGGGCTTCTGGGTAGAAGGCTGAGCGGCAGGGTGTGTGTAACTGGGTGCGTGGGGACCCTTCCGGGCCAGACCCGTCTTGACCGCCGGAGTCGTAGAAGTCCAAGAGGGCCGTAGGTCCGCTCGTCCACCCCGTTGTACCTATACATAACCACTTAAAGAACGGTGAAATAAAGGTCCTTTGAAACTCGTACGGGATTGGCTGGTCCTTGTTCGGAAGCCGTATCCAAAACTCGGGCTTGAAGGGCGGGAGAGCATTTCCTGGCGTCCGCGTCGAGAGGACGGGCCCGGGGAGGAGGGGCGGGGCCGGAGGAGAGGAGGGGCGGGGCCGGGGCGGCACTTCCCGAGGCACCGAGTCAAAGGTGCGGCCCGGCCGGACGTCCGCGCTTTCGATTCTGCATGCAGTCCTTTCTGTCGCCCGGGGGTAAGAGGCTCCCGGACCCTCCTTCCTTGCTTTCCCTTTCGGAGGCCAAGGCCAAGGGACCTCGTGTGCCTCCCCCTGGCCCAACACAGCCACACGGGGTACCAGGCTTAACTAACGGCCTTTCGGGGTTTCTGGTGGGACTTGACGTCCTCCATAAATGAAGCCCCAGCTTCTCCGTCCGCACCTGCCTCGCCGCCCTGCCGAGCGAACCCCCGGGGAGCGGGGAAACAGCTTTGGTCTCGAAGACCAAGATCCCTGCTCCCCGCTCCCTTCAACACGGCCCGTTCGCTCTCTCAGAACCCTGCAGAAGGGAGCTGGTTGCGGGGGGCGGCCCTGGTGTCACCCTATAGGCCCTACTCCCCAAAGACATACTCCAGGAACCTTGCCCTCTTGCAGCTGAGAGAAGCCACAGAGATCCCAGACCTGAACCAGGTGACGCTCCCTTTATTTTAGCCAAGGTTTGAGTGTGGCCCACCTTCCCTCATACTGCCACTACTCCTGAGTCTTGTGGGAAGAGTCTAGATTTAGCCTTGACTTTGCCTAGTGAAGGGCAGACCCTGGCATTACTATGAGCCACCGCCAGGCTTGTTTTCCTACGCAGAGGTCAAAAAGCAATGAGGAAGAGGTTCACAAGCCCTTCCAGGGCTTCTTTAAAGAGCCTTCTTAGCCACACCTGTAACCTTTCTTCTTGTTTTAAAGGGTTTCTGCTTTTCTATTAAGCCAGCACCTGCCAGGCATGAAAGTTTTCCCTCCACAACTGGGCTGGGATACCTCAGGCATTTCTGCCCTTGTGCTCTAGAGACCTCTTCAGAACAGTCTTGTTGAGAGGCTGAAGGGACTCTCCAGAGTGCTGCAGCCCAGCCCTAGGCTACTTCCTCCCCTTGAAGTGAATGACAGCTCAGCAACTTTCTTAAGAAAAAAACAAAAGCTCTGCCATTCACTTATGTAAAATAACTTCTGCTTTACTTTCTCCCTTTATTTTCCCTCTTGGAGGCAGACTGAGCTCTCCTGCACTTAAGAAAAGGAGCTGGAATGCATTGCGATTTCTGATCTCAGAGCCCTGGGTAGCTGCTCAGTTTTCCATACCTTGTCTTCTTCAGGCTTGTGCTTGCTTGAGGCCCTTAGTGGAACTCTTTACCAACCTTGAGAACTTAAAGGTAGAGTTACAATCCGTGTCAATGCTAACAAGCTGAGCATTGAACTTTGTTCTTGCCTCATTAGTGAAAAGGCTCCCTGAAGGATGGGTGAGACCTTCTCCCAGCTGGGCTCTCTGGAGGAGGTGAACAAGTCCATCCTGTCCCAGGACCCAGCCATTGGCAGCAAAGCCACCAGCTACTCCAGCACCAGTAGCAGCAAGTTCTTTAGTTCCTGTGTGCCTTGTGAAGGGGTTGCTGGTGGCGGCTTTGTGACTTGTCCCACCTGCCAGGGCAGCGGGGAGATCCCCCAAGGTGAGTAGGCCAAGGTTCTGGAAATAGCCTGGAATCCAGTAAAAGCTCTGAGCTGGCCCAAGGCCAGATCCCCTGAGTGCTCCTTGAATAACGTTGGGTCTGCTCCCAGCTCTTGGTCACCCAGTCTCAGGCCGGCCAGAGAGAGGCTACTACCCCAGGGCTTGCTGCAGAGACCCCCTCCTGCCTTGGTTGTATACCCAGCTGGGGTTTTCCAGCCACTTTGCTGCCCGAGCAAAGTTCTATGCCTTGGGATTCAGGAAGATACAAATTACCTCTCCAAAGCTGGGCATCGCTGATTTGCTGGTAAACTTTCAGAGATTCCTCACACCTGTTTATGAAAACCTCACTTCCATTCTAGAGATGCAAAGCTGAGCTGCCTACTTCAGTAGTGCAGCCCAGCGCTTCTAATCCTGCTGGGGTGGGAGAGGGGGAGCAGAGGCGGCATGCTTCTGACATGCTCTGTAAGGTGGACTTGTCTTTCTGGGAGGCTGGCACAGGAAATACTGGTTATGGCTACTTCTTGGCCCTCCCTTTCCCCATCTTCTCTCTACAGAGCTGGAGAAGCAGCTGGTAGCCCTCATCCCCTACGGGGACCAGAGGCTGAAGCCCAGACACACGTAAGCCCCTCTTCCTCTTCTGGGAGCTGGTCTTCTTATTTGTCTCCCCCATTCTACTGCTCCCAACTTTTCTTCATTCATTCTCCCCCAGAGAGGCTGAGCCTCACTGAGCTCAAACGTACTAGCTCTTGTTTCCAAGGACTTTCCTGGTTTCAGAAGCCCCAGGCACAGCAGACACTGCATGCAGGGTCCTTCCCTGAGCATCTCTGCTCCCCTCTGGCACACACACAGGACCTCTTGGCTCTGCGAGTCCTCCCAAGAGGGAGGGGGCAGCCCTAGCTGCAATTGCTTTGAGGAACTTATTTTTCCTATGAGCTTCCCTTGCTGTGGCAGTTGAGGCCAGCTTGTTCTCTTCCCAGTAGTGATGGAAAACCAGCTGTTCCCCATGCTGGGACACTTTAGAGCCTCAGAGGTAGCCCTGGGTTTCACCAGGGGCCCCATGACTCTGATTTTCATCTGAGTCCATTTGATATGAATCCCTGCAACCTCCTCCTGAGGTCTTCAGCTTCAGCCTGGGGAACCTCACCCGGCCCTCCCCAACCACTGCACCAGAATTAGGTGGCAGTGCCCATCCTAAGACACTAACAAGGTGCTGTCTCTTTCGTTGTTGTTGCCATCAAGTTGATTTTGACTCAGGGTAACCCCATGTGTGCAGAGTGGAACTGCCCCACAGGGTTTTCAAGGCTGTGACTTTTCCGGAGCAGATCACCAGGCCTGTCTCCTGAAGTGCCTCTGGGTGGGTTCAAACCACCAACCTTTCAGCTGGTAGTAAAGTGCTTAACCACTTGTGTGTCCCAGGGACACCTGCCACTTTCATACATATCTCAGTTTTGAATTAGATGAATGGATGGATGGTCTCCTGTTCTGAATATTAATGTCAAAATTCAGAACTCTCAAAATTCATGTGGACTTATTTCTACTAGAGATGAGAGCTGACATTTGTTGAGCTCTTCCTATGTGTCAGGACCTGGGATTAGTGCTTTTTCATGCATTAAAAACCAGTTGTCACTGAGTCTATTCCAACGCATGGCAACGCCATGTGTCTCAGAGTATAACTGCACTCCATAGTTTTCAATGGCTGATTTTTTGGAAGTAGACCACCAGGCCTTTCTTCTGCGGTGCCTCTGAGTGAATTCGAACCTCCAAACTTTTGGTTAACAGAGTGGGCCCTATGCTAAGCCGGGGGCGGATCAGAGCCAAGCAGCTTTGGCTGGATACTAAAAGCTTCATCTCCACAGGCTTTCAGGGGAAGAGTGTGGCTGGGCCCTCGGGGGTAAAGAAACCACTGTTTGACCTGCCTGGGCGCACCGATAGCCAGAAACTCTCCTTTAATAAACTCTCTTAAAATGACTTTGGCTCAGTTTTCCCTGTGTAGGGAAACGTGCACCTCCAGGGATTCCTTTCATATATTAGTCCATGGCAAATTCTGAGAGGTAGGTACAATTATTATCTCTATTTTATGAGGAAGCTGAAGCTTAGGGGGGTCAAGTGGGTTGCTCAGAGTTATTTGCCAGTAGGTACAGAGCACTGGGAATGGAAGCCACACTGTGTGCTTCCCTGTCCTGTGCTCCTACCCACTCTGAGCCACATTGGAGCCTGGGCTCGTCTTCCACATCTGGGAGCTAAATGTGCAGTTATAGGGAGAAAAGTGAGGGGAGAGCCTTGTGGCTGGAGAAGAGTGTCTGAACCCCCCTCCCTCAAGTTTCCTTGGTGTTCAGATATCTCCTCTACACTGGGTGCTGTTCTTCCACAGGAAGCTCTTCGTGTTCCTGGCAGTGCTCATCTGCCTGGTGACCTCTACCCTCATCATCTTTTTCCTGTTTCCCCGCTCCATCACTGTGCAGCCTGCGGGGCTGAACTCCTCCTCAGTGGCCTTTGATGACGTTGATATCCACCTCAACACAACGGTGAGTGGATGCCCCTCAGCTGCAACCCCACCTTCCCAGCAACCTTTCTCTGTAGCCTTTCTCCAGCTTTGCTGCCCTGGATGTGGGTAGCCAGGGATCTGATTGCACCCAGAGGGTGTTGGGAGCCTGGGGAGAAGCAGGGGCAGCCATGAGCCCCATAGAAGATTGTGTAGGATTGAGACTTTATACAGTGAGGTGTCAGAATTGAGACTAGATAAATCACAGGGTGTAAGGAGGGGGATGGGAGTGCCTGAGACTCGAGTTTGGACTGACTGGAGAGAAGCCAGGGGGGTGGAGAAGGGGTCCTGAGCCTGGTTAATGTCTTAGTTAAAGGTGACCCCTCATCAGTAAGTATCCTTCTAAGGTGCTCCCTGGTACCAGTCCTCCAAGCCTGAGACCCATCATGGGGGCGGTGCTCAGTCAGAGTGGAGAGCTGAGTTTCTGCAACTGTTGGCTTTCCCCTCAAGGATGGCCACCCTCATCCCTCTCTTCCCTTGTCTTCATCCCCAGAATGTCTTGAACATCTCCAATCGCAACTACTACCCCATCACTGTGACCCAGCTGGCCATTGACGTTCTGCATCTCTCCCTTGTGGTGGGGCAGGTCTCCCAGAGCCTCTTCCTGCCCATTGGCCCTTTGACCAGTAAACAGGTGACTTCCCTCTCCCCGGGCAGCCTGCTCACTGGTGGGTGGATCTGTGTGGTGGTGGGAGGGGAGCAGCCAGCATTGGCACTGACCCTGTGCCCATTTGGTTGGCAGATGTTTTACACGGTGACCAGCAGCATATTGGATGAAAATACATAGTGAGTATCCCTTGATCTCTTCTCCCTTAGCCTCTTTCCTGCTTGGCAAACCCTGCAGCCGTTGTTTGGCCTGCCCTCTTGTGGCCAAGGCTGCAGTGTGCAAGGGTTCAGTGTCCCCAGCCTCTGCCTGTTTGGACCTAGACTGGAACAGAAGACAGGCCAGAATTTGGTTAAGCCTTACAATATGTGACCTTGAGCTCTTCAGCCTGACTAACTGAGGAAGATGAGTGTCTTGCTTTCTGCCAAGGGTGGGGCCAGCACGTGCCTGGGCCAAGCAGTGGGGTGGTTGGGGAGGTGATGTTGGAACAGGAGTGCCATGGTCCCCTTAGGCAGAGGGAAAGGGGAGGGTTGGGTGCGGTATCTTGCAGGCTTCTGATGGAAGGGGGCAAAGAGGGCAGGGGAGGAGGCTGGGACCTGCAGGTCTCCTCTGAGCTTTCTGACAGGCCCTTCATGTGAAACGTGGTCCCATGTTCAGTCTTTCTCTCTCTCTCAGCAAAATCTGTACCTGGCAGAAAATCAAAGTCCATCATGTGCTTTTGCACATCCAGTAAGTAGAGCTTGGGGCCCTTGTCTCCCCTCCCCCACTCTGACTGCTGTCCCACCTCAGCTCCCTCTCAGTCATCCAAGCTAACTCCACAAATCTTTGTTGGCCCTTGGGAATAGCAAGTCCAGCCCCTTCTTTAGGTCCCACCTTGTTTACAAGCTATTGGTGGTGACAGGCACAGAGTTGCCTGGAAGCTGCTGGGACACAGGTGGGGCAGTTGTCTCAGGTACCCTGGCAGAGTAAGGAGCAGAAGGAAGTGGGAGGTACTGTCGGGAGCTGATCCTCCCCAGACGGCACAGCCTCCTCCCTCTCCAGGGGCACCCTGACCTGTTCCTACCTGAGCCATTCAGAGCAGCTGGTTTTCCAGAGCTATGAGTACGTGGACTGCCAGGGAAACTCGTCGGTGCCCCACCTGCTGGCCTCTCACCCACCGTGACCTGTCTACTGTCCCCACACTCCGGGTACCTGCCAGCCTGGTCTGTATCTCCCACAACTCTGTTGTGCCCAAGGATGGACTATAGTGACTTTTCCAAAGGAAAAACCCTGCCTTATCCTCCCCACACCCCCATCTGCCATACACACACATCACATCCTCTGATTTTCCACAGGAATAGAAACTTGGTTCCCCTAGAGGCTGGAATCTGATTCTGCCCTTGGTCTGCCTTGAAGTCCCAGGGCTGGCTGTCCTGCCTGAGTGTAGAGAAAGCTGAGGTTTTATCTGGCTTCCCATGGACCTTTTTCAAGTTCTCCATCCAGTGATAGGACAGTGACTTTGGGAGCATCCACTGCTGCCTCCAACACCTTCTAGGAGTTCATAGATGCTCTCCTGTCCCTCCCTGCTTTGATCATGTGACAAAGTGATGGTTGTGAACTGTCTCTCTCCTAGTAACTTGTCCCCTGCCCATCTGACAGCAAGATTAGCCAAGTCTTTGGCCCTCTGTCCTTCCTGGTCAATAGGTTCCTAGGTTCCTAGGAAGACAGAGCTGTGCTCTCCAGAGAAAGCTCTTCCTCTCCGTAAAATAATGGTCTTATTCAGCAGGAGTCAAAGTAGTTTAGGAAGGGAGGAAGGCACCTGGGCACCCCCTGGGCCTACACAGGGAAAACTAAGCCAAAGTCATTTTAACAGAGAGTTTATTAAAGGAGAGTTTCTGGCTATTGGTGAGCCCAGGTGAGTGGACACAGCAGGTCAAACAGTGGTTTCTTTGCCCCAGAGGGCCCAGCCACACTCTCCCCCTGAAAGCCTGTGGAGATGAAGCTCTTAGTATCCAGCCAAAGCTGCTTGGCTGTGATCCGCCCGCGGCTTAACATAGGACCCACTCTGCTCTACTCCTGGCTTTATGGAGCAGCACACTGGCAGGGATAGGTCTAGACCCTCTCTTTCCTGGTCCTCCGCTGGCGCTAGCACCAGATAACCCTAGGTGCCCAGTGGGCTCCATGTGGAGGTAGTTTCTGTTCTTTAGCCAGGCATGAATGGTATTTGCTTGCTAACAGGTGGCTTTGGTTTTTATCAGTCAGACAGGTGGAGACAGGCATAGGTGATGGTGAAAGCGGAATATGAAGTAAGGTGGACAGAGAAGGGAGGGTGGCAGGACCTGGTAACTAGCTGGCTGGGGTGGTGATGGGAAGGAAGGAGTCCATGTTGTCTCCAAGCTTTCACACCTGGGTAACTGGGTAAAAGTGGTGTCAGCAAGAGCAACACGTCCAGGAACGCCAGGCTGGAGCTTCTGCTGTACCTAGTTCACCAATGTAAAGAATTTACATTGTATTCAGTAAACTACACTTGACAGTGTCTAAAAAAAAGTCTCCTGTGAGTGGGACAGTCTGGTGGACACACCCCTGTTTCACAGCCTGTTTCTTATGTCCAGGTGCTTGTCAAGGTCTCCTTCCCCAGGCCTCTAAGCCCCTCTGAGAACATAGCCTGCTTTTCTGGCTTCTGAAAGATTACACACAGGAGCTTGCTCACTCTTGCTTTCTATCTTGAAGATCCCTTCCAACTTTAATTGGAATCCTATTCCTATTCTGTTCTACCCGACCCACGCCGGGATGCTCCCCTCAGGAAACATCCCTGGATCGCACTGAGTGGGGGCTCCTTCAGTCTGGCTCAAGGGCGATGCTGTGCAGGCTACAGTGAAAAGGCCTTCGGGACCATCAGACCTGGGTTGTGATTGGGGTGACTGAGGTAGCCTTTCTCTGGGGATGGTGGAGAAAAAGACTTCCCAAAGCCTGACACCCAGGGTCCCTTTGCCTTTTGGAGCCTCTTGGTCTTCTCTGCTGAGTTGAAAGGCTGAGGCCCAGGAAGGGCAAGGCCTGTGTGTTTTAGTAGACAAGCCTCCCTCCCCTGCCCAGGTCAGGTTTCCTATGCCTAAGGCTACAGCCCCTCTGAGCTCTTGTTCTCCATTCCTGCCCCCCACCATCATCCTTTCAACAGTTGAGTGCCTACTGTGAACCAGGCATTGCACTTGGCACCAGAGGTTCTTGCCTGCCACCTCCCTCTCTGCTGCTGCCCCAGGCCTGCTCTGCAGTGACTCAACCCCTCTTTCCCCTAGCTGTAGCTCAGTAAGCTAAGCGTGGGGTTAGGGGAGGGAGTGTTGGCTTCAGTGACAGCCATAAACTCAAAGTTCCTGGAAGATCTACCATTGCTGAATAGGGGCCAGTAGTGGAGTTGTAGGCTTGGAGGGGTCCAAGGCCAAGTTCTCCCATTGGCTTTGCCTAGAGAAGCATGGAACTGCCTTTCATTCTCTACTCCTACCTTGTCCGTCCCCTTCATGGGTCCTCTTGCCTCCTTCCCCACATCCTGTCTCACAAAGCTGACCAGTCTCTTGATTCTTTCCAGGAAGAAACCACATTTTTTTTCCAGCTAGCATCCTCTTCTAGAGTGGAACAGCAGAGGGTGGCTTTTGGAGTGGAAATGTTGCTGGGTGGTGAGAAGGTGTAGTTGCTCCACTGATGGCCAGTAGGGTCTTGAGGTCTGTTTCTGGATCACCACTGCTGTTTGTAATTTGTCGACTGAGGAGAGACAGACAGCAAAAAAAACAGGTTAGTTTAGAAGTTTCTGAGAGTGATGTCAGTAAGATGATGGAGTAGGCAGCTCCAAGCTCCTGTCCCCCGATAGAAACATTGAAAAACAAGCAGAAGCTGTTAGACCCAACTTCGTCAGAACTCTGGAAAATTCCAGAGCTGAAAAGTACAGTAACAGAAGCAAGCAAATGCTTAATCAAGAAAAAGGCAACTTAAAAACAATAGGAAAGCTTTGCGGCCTTTTTGCTTGCACGTGCTTCACCCCCTCCCTGTTCAGCAGTCTTGAAGACAGCAGCCCACAGTCCCAGTGTGGGTTCCCAGTTCTGGAGGGGGCAAAGTAGACCTTTGCAAATTATTGTGTCCATCTGTTCTAACCTGTCTAGGGGCTACCTGAAGGACTGACAGAAAGCACTTGTTCGTTTCAACTATCTTAAACTCAGAGCAGAAAAGCAGCAGGCATTGCTTAAAAACACTGCTAAGGTCAATAATCAATCCATAGCCACTTGGGGCAGTTGAGACATATAACTAAGGCCTGGGAGGAGAAGCCAGGGAAAGAATGTCTTTGGGAAATTAGAACATTCAAAAGCCCTCAAGTATAAATATGGATGGGGCACTGACCACGTTAGCCACAGTGGATTAGTGTTGTTGTTGTTATAGGTATTCTACTTTTGTAAAAACAAACCCTGTGTATTAATAGAAGAAAAAAAAAAGAATGTAACCAATGTCACTGAACAATATGTAGAAATTGTTGAATGGGAACCTGTTTTGCTATGTACACTTTCACCAAAAATAAAATAAAACCTAGCCATCTATGGACAACTGATTTTCGACACGGGGTCCAAGTCCACTCAATGGGGGAAAAAGCAGCCTTTTTAATAAATGGTGCTGGCAAAACTGGATATCCACTTACAGAAGAATGAAACAGAACCCATACCTCACACCACACACAAAAATTAACTCAAAATGGATCCAATACCTAAACGTTAAACCTAAAAGTATGGGAGAAAAGTATGGGACCTAATCTTTTGTAAAAATAGGATAATAAACAAATGCACAAATAGAAGACAAAACAGATAAATGGGACCTCAAAAATTAAAAAATTATTCTCATCAAAAGACATCAGAAGACTAAAAAGAGAACCTATGGACTGGGAAAAAATCTTTGGAAACGACATATCAGATGACGGTCTAATCTCCAAAATTTATACAAAACTTCAACAACAAAAGACGAACAACCCAATTATAAAATGGGCTAAGGACATGAACAGAACCTTCACAAAAGAAGACGTACAAGCAGCCAACAAACATGAAAAGATGCTCATGATTATTAGCATTTAGAGAGATGCAAACTAAAACTACAATAAGATACCATCAAACTCAGACTAAGATGGCACTGGTTAAAAAACTGATAACATGTTGGCGAGATTGTGGGGAGATTGGAACCCTATACACTGCCGGTGGGACTGTAAAAACCGCTGTGGAAAATGGTATGGTGCTTCCTCAAAAAACTAGAAATAGAACTACCGTAAGATCCAGCAACCCCACTCCTAGGGATATACCCTAGAGACCTCAAAGTAGTGACGTGAACAGATATATGCACTTCTATGTTCATTGCAGCTTTATTCACAATAGCAAACAAATGGAAACAACCAAAGTGCCCATCAGCAGATGAATGGATAAGCAAAATGTGGTACATACATATAATGGAATACTACTCGTCATAAAGAACAATGATGAGTCCGCGAAACATAACATGGATGGAGCTGGAGGGCATAATGCTAAGTGAAACAAGTGCATAAGAACAAATATTGTATGATCCCTCTTTTATAAGAAGACAAGCATAGACATATATAAAGAGACCAATGTTCAATGGTGGTTACCAGGGGGAGGAGGGGAGGGAGAGGGAAACCATGCTTAAGATTGTAAATACTTGTTATTTTTGGTGATGGGAAAGTGGCACCGAATATTCATGCAGGAAGCACAGCATGACCAAAGTAAATGGTGCCACTGAGAAGCACTCATGAGAAAAGGGTGCCTATACTAAAGAATTTGACATATATAAGAGAGCAACAAATCCAAGAAAGTACAAAAAATGAGTCTAGGATGACATAAGGGTGAGTATAGGCATATTTGTATGTGAAAACAGAAGTATCTACATGTGCGTGTAAATACAGATACCTGTAGGGAGACACATACAGTCATTGAAGGCACAGCTACAGATACTCTTCAGACATAACCAAATACCTTCTGAGACTGCTTGTCTGGGTTGAAGGCTTAGGACCATAGTCTCATGGAGCAACTCAGTCAATTAGCATAATACAGCTCACAAAGTTCATGTTCTGCATCCTAGTGAAGTGAGTAGCATCTGGGGTCTTAAAAACTTTTGTGAGCGCCCATCTGAGATACAAACTATTGGTCTCTACTTGTCATGAGCAAAAGAGTAAGAAGATAACCAAAATCAGAGAAGAAACAAGTATACAAGGCTGATAGCCTACACGAGCCACAACCTCAACTACCCTGAGACCAGAAGAACTCGGTGACGCCAGCTACCACCACTGACCGATCTGACTGGGGGCACAATAGATGATCCTGGTTAGAATGGGAGATAAACGCAGAACAAAACTCAAATTCTTTAAAATGGCCAGACTAACTGGGCTACCTGAGACCAGAGGACTCCCTGAGGCTATTGCCTTGAGATGCTCTTTCAACTTTGAACCAAAACTATCCCTTGAGATCACCTCCTAACAGAAAACCAGAGTGACACACAAAATAAAGGATATTACCTGTTAGATCTGTGCTGTAGTTAAAAAAAAAAAAACAACTGTATGAGTCCAAAAGGTCAACATTTAATTCACAGCAAAGATAAAAAGGGAGCAAGGAAACGAGAGTACTGAAATGGACCAACAAGAAAACAATGAAAATGTTGACACATTGTGAAAAATGTAACTACTGTCATTAGTAAATTTGAGTAGAAATTGTCAAAAGGGAATCTGACTTGCCATGAAAACTTTCACCAAACACACATTAAAATGTTATTTAAATATATATATATATATTTTTTAAAGCATCCATGTATATAGGGAAATTCAGTAAGCGACACCATACACAAGGTAAGATGCGTACTCAGAAAAGACCTGAGGAAACCCTAAGCTTTCACTTTGGACTGATCCCTAGGCTCAGTGTAAGCCTACAGGTGTTTGTTTGGTTTGGCTGGTTTCATTTTAGCTCCTAACGTTCAAGGAAATCTGTCAAAACTCTAGCTGAAATGGAACAATCAGAATGCAATCAAAGAGAATGTTGACATATTGTGAAAAATTGTTAACTAAGTCACTGAACAATTTGCGTAGAAATTGTCAAATGGGAACTCAATTTGCTGTGTAAACTTTCACCAAAAACACAAAATATTTAAAAAAAAATCTCTAGCTGAATGCAAGCTAAAGGAACAGACTTCAGTAACAACACACAACAAAGAACGCAGTCTTTGCAAAAGGAAAAAAAACAGTTTGGAAAAGTCACTAAAACAGCCTACTACTATAGCCTTCAACAAACAAAAAAAGAGCAAACCCTAGGGAAGGGGAGAATCTGATTTCCAGAGTTACCACATTATAATATTTAAATATCCAATTTTCCACAGTCTGGCAGTTCCTCAAAAAATTAAAAATAGAATTACCATATGACCCAGCACTTCCACTCAGGTATATACCTGTTACAGGTTGAATTGTATCCCCCCAAAAGATATGTTGAAGCTCTAACACCCAGTGCCTGGAAATGTGACCTCAGATGTAATTAGTTAACATGAGGTCATAACTGGAGTAGGGTGGACCCTCATCCAATATGACTGGTGTCCTTATAAGAAGAAGAGACATACTGGGAAGAATGCCATGTGAGAAGAGAGGCAGAGATTGAAGTGATTTATCTGCAAGCTAAGGAACACCAAGAATTGCCAACAACCACTGAAAACTAGGAGAGAGGCATGGAACAAAGCCTTCAGATGGTACCAACCTTGCTAACACCTTGATTTTGGACTTCCAGCTTCCAGAACTATGAGAGACTAAACTTCTGTTGTTTTAAGCCACCCAGTTTGTGGTACTTTATTATGGCAGCTCTAGGAAACTAATACAATACCCAGAAGAACTGAAAAAGGGGACTCAAACAGACACAAACATGCCAGTGATCATAGCAGCATTATTCACAATAACCAGAAGGTGGAAACAACCCAAGTGCTCATCAACTGATAAATGAATAAACAAAATGTGGTCTGTACACACAATGGGATATTATTCAGCCACAAAAATGAATGAAATTCTTATACATCCCACACGGATGAACCTTGAAAACATGCTAAGTGAAAGAAGCCAGGCACAAAAGGATAACTATTCTATGCTTCCACTTACATGAAATATCTAGAATAGGCAAATTCATAAAGACAGAAAATGGAGGTTACCAGGGGCTGGGGGGAGGAGGAATGAGGAGTTATCACTTAATAAGTACTGAGCTTATGTTCGGGGAGATGAAAAAATTTTGGGAGTAGATAGTGGTGATGGTTGCACAATCCTGTGAGTGTAATAAGTGCCACTGAAACGAATAATTAAAATGGATAAAATTGCAAATATCACGTCATATGTATTTTAGCACAGTAAAATTTTAAAACAAATTAATTGTCTCATCACATTAAAAAAAAAAAGTTCCTGGACCTACTGGTTTTGTAACACTGTCTTAGGCCCTTTGTGGCTAGAGGCATCTAAATGCAATGCAGCAGCCCAGACTCGTCCTAAAAGTGCTAGCAATCAGGTGTGCTCAGCGTTTCCTTTGCACCTGTGTCATAGAACTCTTTCCAAAGCTTGCTCTTTTTTATCTCATTCTCATTAAGGGCTATCATGGAGTCTCTGGGTGGTACAAATGGTTAAGCATTCAACTCCTAGCTGAAAGATTGGTGGTTCGAACCCACCTAATGGCTCTGCAGGAGAAAGACCTGGGGATCTGCCTCCATAAAGATTACAGCCTAGAAAACCCTATGGGCACCTAACAACAACAACAAGCTTGCAAGGAGGGGCTGACAATCTATTTGGGAAAATAGGAGAGGTGCCATAGAGTCAAAATAAAGGGGCTCCTCTAAATGCTGTGTGGGGTGGAGGCAGCTGGAGCAGGAGGAAGGGCAAGACTGAATGGAAGTGAGAAGGCTGAGTCTCCTGGGAGTGTGATTTAATATCTCTGAGCCTCAACTCAATTATTAACTTTAGAGAGGTGTCCTGAGGATTGAACATGGCAATGAAAGGAGAAGACATCAAAAACATTTAGCATGGACTTAACCTGCTGGTTTTGCTCGCTGTACTACAGATATGTGAGATGTTAACATTTGGGGAAGCTGGGAATGGGTGTGTTAGGCAAAAAGCTTAACCATTTGTGTCACCAGGGCTCCTTCCTTTTTATGCTTAGCACTGAGCAAAAGGCCCTACTCAGACATTTTTAGGGGGCAAGGAGTGGAGGCTCTTGGGACCATCCAGAAGTGACTTAAGATCAGTCCAGCCCCTCCTCCCTCCAAGGAAGCTTCTCACACTCGGCCATCGTCCATCTGCCTTTCACATCATGTCTGTCTCACCGAGAATCGTGAGAACCTGGTGTCTTTGACTGGGCTAGCCTGGCATGAATCCTTGAGACCTGATGATGAAACAAAGCACAAGTTACTCATCCAGCAGTTTCTGGGGACGGAACACAGCAAGGCTGTGCAGAACAGAGCAGGCCACCCTGACTATTCTCAACTAGGAAGTCACCCTGTGGGTTCCCTGTTTCAGACCTGACAGGAGATCTGTTGATAAGCCTACAACCATCTGACCACCCACCCCCTCTGTCACTCCCACCCTGGAGCAAGGACTGAGGACTTCTCAGCTACCCTCTGCAGAAGTTGACAGGCTTCTTTGTAGCCCTGGGTTGACACAAACTCACCCCAGAGAGACTGGCCAGCCACCAAGGCAGTAAAGGCTAAGCGTGCTGGGGAGAATCAGGGTGGGTGACAGACGTGCCATTAGGGCTGAGATGGGAGCAAGGGCTCTCTTCTCACCACCTGCCCCTACCCCCACTCCAGGGCCTGGAAAAGCTTTCAGTGGTCCTTGGAATCTGTT